AGCCATGACAGCAATTAAGGAACTGAGAGGAATGGTCTGGGAAAAGGTTTGAAATAGTTGTAGGATGACTGCAGCACTTACACTGGAATGCGACGAGCTGGGCTCCATTCTCTGCCCCACCATGGACCTCGTGGAGGATCACAGGCAAATCACTTCTGGCTGCAGACAAGAACCGTTTGGTTGCCTTCACAGCAGCACCTACCAGGTGCCAGCTGCCCAGCAGGAATCCAAGACCTGGAGCTAGGTCTTGCTCGGGACATAGAGGAGACACCTGGGGACCAAAAACGGTACAAACACACCTGCCTGCAGCTGGGAAGCCAGAGTTTTGTTCCACTTGGGATCCACAGCTCGGAGTTGTCCCAAAGAAAAGTGCCAACATCAGTTTCTAGCAAGGACTAACTAGGACTTGCTCTTTCCTTTAGCTGCCAAAAGGCATGTTAAGAACAACAGCTACATTTTGTAAAACGGCCTATTGTTTGAAATACCCATCACTCTGGAGGCTTGGGTCCGCTGGCTTCCTCCAACTGAAGATTCAGACTCCCACCCACCACAGAGTGCCCTAACCAGGGTGTGAGCCCGTGGTGGTGGAGGCGGGAGGCTCCTCTCATTCACACTGTGCCACTGTGGAGCAGACAACTGAGGGAGAGCAAGTGTAAGGGCAGACCTAGTGGTTGGGGTGCTGGGAGAGGCGGCCCAGGGCCCGTTTCCCACCCTCAGGCTTTGTTCCATATTTTATCCTTTGACTGTTTAATAGAAAAATACCTAAAAAATGGCTCTTGTCATTAGGTACCGAAATGCAGCATTCCTTCTGCAAACTGATTGCCTAAATCATGAGGATATGGGTTGATGCTTTCTCTCCTTACTCTGTGTGCTTATTCTATATCTCACTGAGACAGACAGAGTGAGGCTGGGGAGATGCTCCCTGGCCCAGCCTACTAGGTTTCCCACTGGCTAGGGTGTCGTGCTGGAAGGTGGGGATCCCCTGAGGAGGTATGAAGCATTGAACTTGTGTTACTCTCCTTATGTGAAGATATTTTAGGCAATTAGGCTCTTATGGAGCAAATGGGTGGCAAACCCACCCAGAGGCTTTGCAAAGCAAGCAGGCAGTCGTGCAAGTTTGTACTGCTCTTTGTACACGGGGTGAGGTTTGCAGCCCCCAGTGATGCGAGATGTTTGTGAGGAGAATGCTTGGGCCCTGATGGGGACTGTCACAGGGGACCAGGTGTCCAACTGTTTCAGTGGCCCATTCCAGACCTGCCCCAAAGCAGAAACATAGGTGTGCAGAGAAGGCTTAAGTGCAATAGGGAAAAGCCTAGTGAGCAATACCTCCAGATTTGGGCAGCAGCTGAACAGAAACTGTTTGGACTGCAGCTGTAAATACAGACTTTGCATTTCTACCTCCTAGTGACACCTAGCCGTTTTTCCCCATGTGCCTTCTTCACCTGCACAGCGGGAATAACACTTGGTATTTCCCACAGCAGTAGTGAGAGCTTATGCTTTCCCAGACAGTGTGAGGATCGGGGTCACTGAGGTACTGCGATAGCTAAAGGTCCTTCTTGATATTTCACTTAAATGCTTGCTAGGTCACCAGGATGTGAACTACTGAGGTGTAAATGTGTAAAAGAAGGTGTAAAAAAAGTTGCAGAGAAGAGGTAAGACAGTGATGGGATGTAGTGCAGTTTCTACCAACGTATTTTCATGCATGTATATCCCAAATATCAAAGCAGAGAACAAAACTGAGAAACTACTTCCTGACCGTTGTGTAGTGTCTAAAAACAGGGGAGGAACCCATTTCAATATTTTATTGGTGAGATGTATGGTCTATAGTGGCTGTAAATCCTCAGAATATAGAAAAGATTAATTTTCTTCTTGCATTTTCAGTGGGTTTAAATCGCTGAGATTTAGATCTACCTAAAATAGCCTTATAGAACATCCTTCTTTCTGAAAGATCTAATCATCCAACTTTACCCTTCGCAATGGCTGACTCCTCTACTGACTGCAGCATTGAACACATTTTCTCGGTGTGTGCTGGGGAAAGTTCTGATTACCTGTTTGTCTCAGGATATGCCCTAGACTTTGTTAATCTAGGTTTATTATGCTAAGACTTTCCCAGCAGCTTAGTGCTAATGCAATGGATTTTAAGGGTTTACACAGTGGCAACTCTTCCAGTAGCCAGTCACCTCAGCAGTTTGATCAATTCAACAGGATTAAGCTTTCTTAGTACTTGGCTACCATAGGGGTGGAAAAAATCTGTCCTACCCTAGCATCTGTAGTGCAAGTAAAGTCATACAAATAATCTTGTTATGGTCTGAAAATCATACCTGCGTTCTTGTTTCATAACAAAGTCATTTTAATTTGAGCTGTTCCTTTTCATGTCTGTTACAGTCACCGTCTCTTTATTCCTCATTCTCAGTTATTTCCTTGATAAAACCAGTCAGTCTGATTCAGCTGGATGGATCCTCCGTGGATGTATGAATACTTCTTTGAAAAGAAGTTCATTCAAGGTTGCAGACCAGTTTCCTTTCATTGTTTTCTGAGACTCCTGGCTCTGCTCCTCCACTCCAAAACCAGATGCTGGCAGCACGGAAGACATGCAACAGTCACAAGATAGATTTGAGAGGCTTTTGGAAATGTGTTTGACATACTGGCAAACAAGACAAAGCCATGTTGTCTGAGCACTGATGTGTTTTTTGCCCCTGTACTGTCAGACAGTCGTGCCAGGGCAGGTACCAGGATCTCAGCAGCCAAACAGAGCAGCAGCCATGAAAGGAGAATGGTTAATTTATTGAGAAAGCATTATTTAAATTTCTGTGCTGGAAAATAGTGAGTATGGCAGACTGACAAAAACAGTCTACCCCTGAATGGGAGGTATGAGCTTGAAGCGGTTTACCCACTGCTTCTGTTCTTGGCAGGGGAAGGGACAGGCACTGAGCTGCAAGCAGCTGCTTCCAGAGACGAATTTCATCAAGGCTGATGTCAGGACTTGGCTAAAGAATGGCATGTTAGCTGCAAAACCGTGAGCCGAGTACAAAAAGCTGTTTTCAAATTTCAACATACTCACTGCCAGAGACTGTTAGGCCACACGAGTGCAAGATACATTTCATGCTGCACGTGAGGAAGGTGAATGTGTTGCAGCATCCTAGCGCTCCTCCCCGGGTGGGGTGGGAATGGGGGGGTGCACCTATATGCCCTTTTTCCAGCCCTATTTTAAAATAACGTGGGTCTTTTCTCCAGACAGTGGTCATTCGATACCCCAATGGATATTTCCCCCACCCCCCTGATATTGCTTAAATTATTAAAAAAAAAAACAAAACATAAAAAAAGTCTATCATTACATCTTCTGGAAGTGGGTACAACCCACAGAGAACAACTTGTTTGACAGTGCAGATGTCTTTTCCTAGGTGCAGCAAACCAAGGACAGGGCAGCGATTGTGGAAGAGGGAAGAGGGTTATCGAAGCAAGGGCAATGGCCACTCTGAGGCAAACTTTGATATAAATTATATGCTCATGCCTATAGTCACCCTCTCTGCTGTTTTACTTTGCAAACAGATAACCTCTGCTATGTACATTAAAACACGGCAGTGGAATCAGCACCCCATGCCTTTGAAGAGGACAGTCCCATTTGAAGCAATATAGCAGTGACGTAGCTGAAAATGAGCCTATTGAGGAGCTTGCAAGTGGATTAAATACTGATGTGGCTGCAAGTGCTACTTAACTGCCGATTCATATTGACCCCTCCAGGCCTCTCAGTATCATGGGTTACACCACAGGAAACTCAGCTTCGGTGCAACTCCAGCGCTCATTAACAGTGCAATTATAGGTAAATTACATCAACTGTCTCAGCTTCAACCGGTGAAAACAAACTATGGTGAGTACCATCTGGTCTTCTCTATGTATGAAGCTAAATGATTCTCACTTGCATACCCTCTGTGAACAAGTTCCCCAGCCCACAGGAGATTGCAGATCTTGGTGTCTCCCGGAAGAAGTTTGGTAACACATTAGCATCCCCCCTCCCAAATACAGCATGCAGATACTGTCAGGTTGGGATACATCACAACATGCTGCTGTGACTTTTACTGTGTCCTACTCAAGGTGAGGAATAAACCAGAAAGCTGTGTTGGATCCCAACCCACCATGTACAATGGCTTCCTCAGGACTTGGCTCTGCCCTGGAGAACCGAGGGCACCGCTACCGAGAGCTGCAGGAGCTCCCTGTGAATCTGTGCGTGAAATCTCTGCTCCTGCAGTTGTTACTTCAAAATAAAACCTGCCTTTGGGACTAGAGACAGCAGTATGTGGTTGTACCTAAAAAACAATCACTTGAAACAAGTAATGAAGCAGTAATGCAGTTTTTTTTTGTTCCTAACTCCATTTTTCCTAAAAAAGTTGTGGGAGAGCAGGAAATGCACCTGTAATGAGATGGCTGGGAAGGGATTAGCTGCTTCCCATTGCTGGTTTTCAGGTGTGTGTGTGTGTGTGTATACTTTATGACTCATTAAAGGTCCCAAAGGAGTTGTTCTGAAGGCTGTTTTCTTTTGAATGTCCACTACAAAGGTGATCTTGAGGGCTCTGGAAGCATTTATAATGACAGAAAGATGTGGTATCAAGAGCAGTGAGATATTCGATGATGAACATGGAACAGTGGAGGAATTTTTCATAGATGGTTCAAGATACAGTGGTTGGTTGTTTTCACAGTTTGTGTGTGGCTTTTAAGGAAACACAGTCTGTGCTGGTGTTTAAGGAATAACAAGAATGTTGTTCCTAGAGATGTGGGCGTATCAGGGACGGTTAAAAATTATATAACACATTAATATAAAGTAGTAAGAAATCTGCGAAAGTTCCAACATTATTCAGCAAGAATGAAAAAGGGGGAAAGGAAGTTTACCTTTAAAGCATTGTAATTTCGATTTAAAAACATTCATTCTGTATTCTCTTCATCGTGTTTGTGGTTTCAACTAAATAGGATTAAACAATTTACTATACAAATGAATAAAGTCTAGATTTGTTATCACAAGAAATTTTTAATATGGTTTGTGACAAGCAATATCAAAGTTATCAACTCTCAAGCTTCATGTTCTGAAACCAGACAACTCTCAGCAACAAAAAAAGTTGTGCACTGATAAACATAGGAGGCATATTGTATTTTTTTAATTAAATATGAAAACATGAGCTGTGTACATTATTTTTTTCCCTAGAAAACACAGCAATTTCAAAAGTTTATCATAAAATATTTTCATGAAATGAGTGAACCAGCAAACACATGCACTTGTGTGCCTTCCCCCCTCCCAAGATAAACGTGATAAAAGAGACATACGCAAATGTAAAAGTTAACAGAACAAGTGGCGTTTTGTTGTTGTTTGGTTCTTTTTGGAAAGGATGGAATGTAACATTGTGCTCGACTTTCTATGTCACAACAAAAAATATTTGGTGCAATATTTTAGCATTTTCTGTTTAAGTTTCAATCTGGTGGAGAAAAATACCTTTTTCTATAATAAAATATGTCTGTTCTTTTTAAAACTTAACTTTTTTGCACAAAATAATTTTGTAAACTGTCATTTCAAGGGCAAGGTAGGTGGTGCCATGTCAATGTCCTCCCCCTCACTTACAAATGGAATTTGTTATCTGAAGCAAAACAGGGAAACACAAAAAAGAGCGGAGCAGAGGCTGCTTTGCAAAGAGAAAGAAGGGTGTGTCGGACGGGGGAGAGGGGAGGGAGCGTGTGGTGGGACAGAAAAAAGTTAAAGGTCACTTTCGCCGTAGAGTGCCGTGGAGAAGGACATGTAGTCCAGGGCACCGGGTACAGCATCACGGCCGTTGTAGGGTGCCATTCTAGCAATGCAGTACTCGGCCTGATCAGGAGGCAGTTCCCGCCGTAATTCATCCACAGTGATGTAGTTCTGCAGTGGGGACAAACGAGAAGGCGATCGTTACTTTCAGAAAACGGACCCTCCTCAGAGGGACAACCAGCCCCTGGCCCCCCAGGGCAGCAGTCAGGGGCAGGACCCCAACAGCCTGCCTAGTACCGTACACCCACACAGGCAGCTCTCTGCGCGTACACCCTGGGAGGAAATTCAGTCACTCCCTACCGTTCGGACAAGAAAATGGTTTTTACAATGGAGACAAAGATTGTTTTTGCAGGAGCGATGCCGGCACACCTGAAAAAAAAATCTGGAGGTAAATAAGGTAAGTTGTTAGTGTAGGACTGCGCCTTCCCGTTGACGGGGGAGGCCTTGGTGAAAGCGAATGGGAGGAAGCAGAAATTTCGTTTGGATCCTGTCCCTCGCTGGCAGGAGGCAACAACTGCTTGTGCTGCTTGGGAATTGCCCGTTCCCTCTCCTCAGAGCAAGGAAGGAGCCATCCCCACTCGCTCTGGCTGGTGGCACTGCTGCAGGCAGCAGGCAAGCACACACACTGTATCGCTTCCACAGTTCCCCCAACAGTCCTTGCCTTTCACAGCACACGTTTTTAATAAGCAAGCAAAACGTCTTATGTAAATTCGGCTTCTGGAGACTCACTGAGCGGAGCTGAGGTAGCTTGGCTTCTCTCCATGCCGTAGGTAACAGTAGCTGCCTGTTTGCTAACCACTATGTTGTCTTTAGCTGACTGACTCATGGGCACTTGCAGTCTGTCTGAACAATGTTTCAGGTTTCACACCATCTCTCTCTCTCTCTCTCTCCTGTGACTTTTTATTCTTCTTTCCCCCCCGCTCCAGCCCCCCTCGCCTTTTAGTTTAATGATTGGAGTGAGTAAGAGGTATTTTTGTTCATAATGAAACACTGTCTGATTCATATTATAGTCACTAGACCATATTAAACACTGACAAATATATTTAACATACTGTACACAGTAAATGAGTTAATAAGTAATACTGTACCCAAAAGTACCTATTTATTCAGTGATTAGCTTATCTGAATAACATGGAATTTTCAGGCCTTGAAAGACAATAGGACTGGCTTCCTTCAGGTAGATGCCTAAAGGACAGGTATCACGGGCTTCTACATTACAGATCATGAAAAGATTACTGGTGAAACACGGAAACCAGTACTGGATTTAGGGGTACCTCATTACAACCTGAGAAATGGTATCTGACATTTCAAGTGAGATGAATAAAATCATTAGAAAACACAGAGATACATTCATATTACCCATACATATTATTTGTTCATTACATAAAAGATTAGTGGGGATTGTTATATAAGAAAAATAAGATTACTTATTTTTTTATTCAGCTGGTTACACTGAAGATGATGCAAATTTAGTAAATTAATACTTTTAGTATCATCCTGTGAGGTTTCCTACTTTCAACCAATTTCTCTGATTTAAAAATGCTTCTCTTGCAGATACAGTGTATCCTCAATGAAAATCTACTATTGATTGTGCAACAACAGATAGTGACACATGTATATCTGAGAAAAGTCACCTCGAGTTTGCAGCTGTCAGTAATTAATAGTTTTTCAAGACTAATCAAGAACCATCTGTTGAATTTGTTCATACATTTTAAAATAACAAATCACAACCAAGCTCTTAATTAAATTTTTGAAGCAAGAGTGGGCAGCAAAGTTCTGACTGACAGCTGAGCAGGACTTTCAAGTGCCATGGCAGGCTGCTTATTAACCCACACTTCAGCCTTGCACTCCTCCAGCACGGCACAATGTTCCCGTGAAAATACCCTCCGCTCTAGAGAGTGCTGCCCTCGACCCCTTCTCTTGGAGACGAGAGAGAAAAAGGAAAGCAGGAGCAAGGCAGATGCAGGGAAGGAGGGTGTGGAGCCTGACCTTATCTCCAGCCAGGATCTTGAAGGAAGCCATAACCTGGTCAGCAGTATCTGTATCTGCTGTTTCCCGGGACATGAAGTCGATGAAGGCCTGGAACGTCACTACACCCAAGCGGTTAGGGTCGACGATGCTCATGATGCGGGCAAACTCTGCCTCTCCCTGGAGAACAAGACAGTCATGTAAGCCTGGACATTCGGGCTGCAGTGCCGTGAAAGCAGAGAGAAACTGTTCAGCAGCACATCTCACAGCTAGAAAAGCAAAGCCAAATAGAAACCACTTCTGTTTTTTTTTGTTTTGTTTTTTTTTTTTTTTTTTTTTGATCAGGATATTCTTTTTTAGCTTATTGGTGTGTACAAATGCTTCCCACTCATTTGTCCTTTGGAATAAAATATTCGTAGCTGTGCCCTAGGATAGCACCCAGCTCCATCTAGCTCTAGGACAATGCTCCTATCAGGAAACAGTATCACACAAGCTTCAGGGGAAGATGCAAATTTCTCCATAATACAAGTTGTGCTAGATGTCTCTAGTAATATTTGGACATTTGCATTCCTCAAATCCTTTTACTTTCATTTACTAGAAGAGAACTTTTAGAGTTCTCTTCAGCTGCCTGAACAGAAACCACCAGAAGAAACATTTCTGGGGTCTTTAATAGTATCTTAACTAGGCAGGCTTTGGAAAGAAGGACTTGCATATCTGGAGCGGCTCAGGGAATTAGCCTTTACAGGGAAGATCCTGCAGAGAAGTTTGCTATAGAAGCCAAAACCTTGTAGTGTAGTTTTCTGTGGTTTTGGGGTTTTTTTGGCTTGTTTTTTGTTTTTGTTTTTTTTTTTTTTTTCACATAAACATAAGATCATCCATTTTCATCTGTGGGAATCCTTCCTCCCCAGGTAAGGAGGAGGGGAGAACAGAGTTGAGTTTTCTTCTGGGAACAGGGTCTTCTAACACATCTAGAACACTATACCTTCAAGAGTAATTAATGTATCTAATCAAATGTTATTGCGGCTTGGCAGGCTCCAGTAAAGAGGCTGTATTTATACTGCGCTGATGAATAAACACTGCTTTGCCTGACATCAGGAGCAAAGATACTGAGAGTACAGCTGAATATTTTTGCACTACGCTCTTCTCCTGCCCTCTGATGAGTATCAGTCTTTGGTGAAGCTCATCCTATTAGTGATCGTGCCTCTCAAGGTACCCCATGTTACTGTTCTGAATATGCAGGTACTCTGGTGAGGGAAAAGCTACGGGGAAGAGGACTGGCACTTGAACTTACTTACAGGTACAGGAAGAGAGATGTGAAATAAATGGTAGGAATGAGAGGAGCAGCATTTGAGTGTATTCAGAAATCAGATTGTGTATACTTCCAGATGAGTCCAACTGATACTTAGGGCTGGGGAGGTTGTGTGTGCTGTGCAGAGTTTCACACACTGTTTCTTCCACTTGTAGCTACACAGTTTGATAAATGTAATTCTTATTTGAAATACACAGGAATTTTAGACAATGATTCCCATTTTTTTACCTTCAGCTACTGCTGTGAGACAAGAATTTTACATGTACACCCAATACTAGAGTTAACACCCATTGCTGATAATTCTGGAAAATAAGGCTGTATTTACCTTGATTCACTACACATTCTGCCTTTAATTTTGAAGGTGCCTACAAGAACCACTTTGAACAGGAGTGACAGAGGGCTCTACATTACCATATTGTAACCCATGGAGATAAGGCAGGCCCGGAAATCTTCACAATCCATCATACCAGTCTTCTTCTACAGGGAATGATGCAAAGGTGGAAAAAGCCAAGAGAGAAAATGGAGACCAGTCCAGGAAGAAATGAACCCACATGAAACATTACAAGGAATGAGTTTCAGGGGGGGAGGAGATGAAAAGAAGGATTTACAGGACAATGAAAAACAATAGAGGAAAGGTAGTTTGTAGAACCATGAAGAAGCAAAGGTGGTTTTGGACATAGTTTACATACAAGAACATATTGATGATGAAAAGAATGAACGAAGATAATCAGCAAGATGGGTTGAGGGAGGAACAAGAAAAGGAGTGTTAAGTGACAAAGAAGTAAATGGAATAGTTTGAAGACATAAAAGGAATTCTCCCAAGAAAAACAATTTGGGAATTAAGAAGGAATAGATACCAAAGTACATTTAGAGAGGAAGTATAGAAAAGTGATGTATATATAGTCAAACACAAGAACAGCAATGACAGATGGATTAAGACAAACAAGAAAAGAGAGGAAAAAACTGTTATTTTTTCACAGTTTAACATCTGGCTGTGTTCACCACTAGCATTCAGTACCTGTGCATCGTTTCCAATATCGTAACCCAAGCTGATGAGACAGGCTTTGAATTCCTCAGGGCCAAGTGTGCCGGAGTGGTCCTGGTTATGCGGTGTGCCAGGCAGCAGGACATGCAGTGCCAGTGGGGTGACGGTGTGGGGCAGAAGGAAGGGAGACACAGAGGAGATCAAAGGGAGGTGGAAGGACAACAAACAGGTGCACCATGCAGTGGGTGAGGAGAGAGGGAGAGGAAGAATGACATGCAGATAGAAAGACAGGGAAGAAAAATAAAAAGTGCACAACATTAGATATCACAATGACATTTCAGGATGTGCTAAAAATGCTCTTGGAACAGTTCCTTCTCAGAGAGCTTGTCACATCTTGAGAGCATCTGAATGACAAAACCAGTCGATGCTCAGAAGCCTCAAGATCTCCATCTCCCAAGTGAATTAACTTGCGTTACTGCTTGTTATCCACAGTGTCAGAAGCCCTGTGTTTCACTAGTAACCCGGAGTGCAGGTAAGCAGGCAGAGGCAGTGGGAAGCATTGCCTTAATCTTCTAGTCAAAAGTCCCACTAAAGGAGTAGGTGAGGGCAGCTATGTTTGGCAACACACCCAAGGAAGCTTAGCTGTCAGGGCATCCCAGGAACAGACAAGGAAAACCAGCTGAAGCTCAGGGGAGCAGTGTTATGGCTGTATTTACGAAACCCGCAGGTGAGGTGGAGCTTTGACTGGCAAAGCTATTTCAAGTGCTCAGCTCTGCAAATAGCACTGCTGTACAGCGCAGCACAACGCGGCTTGGCAGCTGCTCATTCCCCGCTCCCCCAGTGGTTGGACGTACCCATCAAACTATACACGAGCCACCAAAGGATCTGAGAATCCCCATCCACCCTGCAGAATTTTAGTTCAAGACAGCCCTCAAACACGGAAAAGCCCCTGCCTGCCGCCACCATCTCTGGCCAGATCAAGGAATCTACAGACAGGATGGCGGGGCCAATTCCAAGTGACTTTCCTCAAAAAATCAGCTTTTAAAGTCAGCGTTGGCACAGCTGATGACAGGAAACCCACATTCTCTCTGCATTATCATTCATGTTGTTGTGGATGAAGGGGCAAATGATATGAAGGTCAAAATACAGAATCTACAATGCTTTATGGGTCCTTCTGCTAAGAAAAGTAGCCATGGTTTTTGTTATTCTTGGGTAACTAGAGAAGGGCTGAAATAACCAGGGTTCAGCAATCTGAAAGTGTTGCTGATCTCTGAGGGCAGGCTGCAGCCCTGTTCTCTGCAGACCTTCCAAACAGTCCGGCTGGTGCAGCAAGGGGTGGAGAGCAACCTCAATATTTGTATCACTGACTTTGTATCTCTGCCGGCTGCTCATGGATTTCCAGACAGCATTGAAGGAGCTGATAATGGAGCCAGTTTCAGGCTTGGGTTGCTGTCTCTGCTTCCCTGCATGACATCTTTGTGATTCAGGTTGTAGAAGGAAGAGCTGCAGACAGGCTGGCAAATTGAGGGGAGGAGAATTTCCTTTAAGGAATTCCTTTCTTATTGCACCCGTTAGTGCCTTGGCACGTATTTCTACAGCTAGGCAAGGCAGGCTTTACATCAGGGTTTATCTACGTCACGCAATGCTGTGGTGTGTGTAGATCCTCCTGTTTGCTCCGTACAAGAGCAATATTGGTTCCTTCAATACAGGTTTATGTGATGGTATGTCAGTGTGGAGGACAGCTGCTTCAAAGAATTTTATAGATCAAGCTAATAATCTCCTCTCCCCTCTCTGGATTAGATGGGGTAGAAGTCTAATTTCCTAAATAAGGCTTCAAACTTTTCCATACTTCAGCTTTATCAGGAAACTTAGCAGTTTCCTGTGAAGATATACTTCTCCCAGTCTAACGATCACTTAGCAGTCTTCACAGGAATGACTGCGCTCCACAGGAGTGGCGTTTTTAAGAACAAAATATCTTCTATTGACCTAGTTTTATCACAGTGACTGTTTTTTATTGCACTCCGCAGTCTACGTGGAAGCTTGTATCTTACCAAGCTGCAGTCAGCACTGACTTACCCTGTCAAAATGGTTGAAAGAAGCCCGGAACTCGTTCATCTGTTCCTGGCTGATTCCTTTGGCATCACGGGTCAGAATCTGGTTTTCCACTTCATTGATGGTTCTAGCAATTGTTGTTAGTAACTGCTCCCAGCCCACTCGGATATGCTGGAAAAAGAGGACAGGACAATTTTTAAATTAAAAAGTAGCTCTTCTGCCTCTGAGACCAGTGGACTGAATGTGCCACTTGTTGCAAATTAAATGATCCTGCTGGACAAGGCAGGAGAAGTCCATTTGCTCAGAAAAGCTTCCTTCTCATCTGCAGTGTGGGCCAATCAGCCAACTCCTAATCTTAAGAAAGTCTTGGTCCTATTACAAAGTTCCTTTGCCTTGTCAGAGTAACATACTGGGGACCTTGAGCACAAATGAGAATCAAACCCAGTGCTTGTAGGACTTAGTTGGGCAGAAAACTCTTCTTACCAAGAAAATAAATAAACCACACTCCTTGGAAGGCACTGGTGCTCCACTGCCTCTGCTGTTGCTTAATGGAGAGCTGGCCAGAAACCAAAAGACAAGTTTCAAAGCCTGTCTGTGTTCTGCTGGACTCATGTTGAACTCAAATTGCTTCCAAGAAACCTCACACTGTCAACAGAAAGCCAGACTCTGATTCTAAAAAGCTTTTGTTGGACTTTTTTCGTCTGCCAGGCTGTGGCAGCTCAAAATCACCAGCACTCCCCTGGTCTTTCTAAGCCCAGCTAATACGCTGCCACAATCAGGTGGCAGGAGAAACAAGACCAGCCAATTTTTCAAGCCGTACTGTTGATCTCATTCAGGTTATTTCTATTGTCTATATTTGGAAGTACATTGGAATGGGTTGGCATGAAGTACAGCAAGGCAAAAAACAATATTTCGGCAACATGTTGTTGCCTGCTTGGCCACATTGTCAAGCTCTCCATTTTCCTGAGAATCACAACACGCTGCCAGAGCTAGATATGGCTGATACTAACTGGCCACAGCAGATGAGGCTGGCTGATCTGCTGCCCAAACTTTTACCTCCATGGTGTAGTTGGTGTGCTTGTTGTCAAATATAAGTGCTTCCTGGATCTGCTGGTGGTCTCCTTCCAACTGGTCAATCTTTGGTTTGTAATTCACAATGCTTTTCTCGTACTGCCGCAAGTGGTTGAGCTGGTCCTCCAGGGTCCCGTGCATCTCTATTGAAATACGGCCAATCTCCTGCATTAACAAAGCCAAAGGAGTTAGGCCCCATTGGAAGGACAAGCCTCAGCATGCTTCACATTTATTGCAGCTATTTCATGCTCACACAGGATGAAGATTTGAAAATAAAAAAAAATCTCATGGAGCATTTAATTTAAATGAGCCGAGACAGCGTCAGCAAAAATTTTAGCAGAGCCCTGAACATTTTCCAAGTGAGGTGAGTCACATGAGATGTGTCTAATGCAAGGATACAAAAAAAATATAAGGAAACTGCAGTCCATAAGATAGTAATGTACCAAGCCAGATCTTTTTCTGATGTACTATCTGTCACTTAGTCCCTTCATACAGACATATTTCTGTAATTGCTCTCTTCTTTACAGCTCCTGCCATCAGTAATAGCTTCATATTTTTCCATTTCATTAACTCCAATTCCTTTAACTCAAATCTTATCTAAAGAGATATCTCCCTTAAAAATGTCTCTTCTGCTGATGTTTGATATGCTAATTGTATTTATTTTGTCATGTGTATCAAGACCATTGCTGTGAAAGCAGTTGCACAAAATTTGCTTCTGATGTAGGGTCTCTTTAACAACTTTTTAACAACTCTATTAAAGTATCAGTGTTCCCCACTTTAAGTCATGTTTTTCATCTCTGTACTAAAGAGTATGGGAAAGAAAAGTACAAGCACTTAAGCAACTGATATTAATCTTGGGATTCTCTGTATTTTCTATGAAAGTTTCTCTTACTGTAAACCTGAAGGAAGAATGACCATGACAGAGGTCAAGAAAGACCAAGGATAAGAATATCAGTGAAGATCACAGAGGAAAAGAGGCTGTTTCAAAATGAGCAAAGCACTACCTCCATTTTGGTCTGAATCCAGGGTCCAATGACATTGGCCTGTGCACCAAACTGTTTACGAAGTCGTTCATTTTGCTGCTGGCGAGCGTGTTCTTCCATCAGGGCTTGGTCCCTTCTGGGAACCAGCTGCCGCACCTACAGCAAAGAGTAACAAAGCATGCAGTTTATAATACAAAGGCACATGTATAGTAAATGTAGAAATTGCTGCAAGGAAGGGAGGAGTGGGTGTTTGCACTGACAACAAGCAGTCATACGGTTTAGGACACAGTGGGAAGGCTCATGGCATGTGAATCTTATCTGCTGTAGGGTGCACGCTGCAAACTCATCCCAGGCCATGAAAGACCAGAAGCTTCTTCCATTCACTACTTGGGTTTTTGGTGGCTCATGTTAACTGAATTGCAGGACCCTGTTCAGATCTCACTTTGGTGATCTTGTTTGGTAGTAAGAACCATCAGCACAGCTGGCATGGACAGTAGCTGCTCTTTTAGGATTACAGCAGGGGAAGGCTGCTTGGTTGCAGAAACAAAACAGCTGAAAGGGTTGAATGGTGAAAAAGGATACTGACTCACGTGCCATACTTACTTGCTTATGAGGTCAGCTGAGGACTAAAAACCTCAAAGCTTTTAATTTAGCATCTTTCATTATAAAAACAGCAAGTAAAACAGATCTGAAACCCCTCAGGCATTTAAGAGGTTCTCTTCCCCTGAAGATCTCTTCCACTTTCTGAGCAAGTGGCAATTGTTCCAAAAACAAATGACAAGGGAAAAAAAAAAAAAGCTCAGAAGTAAACATGGGAGGGTAACTGAAGAGTAAACAATCCATTTCCTGAGGCACCAGTGATCGAGCAGCAGCATCCTCCCACACTAACTTGCAAGGCTGGACAGAACTCACATGTTCCCATTTGCCATTGATCTCGTGTGGGGTGATCGTAGTGTAAGGGTTCGTTCCTGCCATGTTGACATGGTACGTCTGGACAATCTTTGAGACTTCATTATGGATTCCCAGGATGGCCTGTCGCTCCTTGTCGGCATCTGGCAAAGTGGCTTTGAACTGTTCGTGGGCTGTGGTCAACCCCTGCAGAAGGGAGGCAGCAGCAAAGGGAGGGTAAGAGCATTAGTTACTAAACAGCCTCTTCAGCAAATGTATCCCTGCAGCAGTGGCTGCAAAAGCTTACATGTTCCCAGGATGTAAAGCAGGCTAGTCTCATGCTTTTCAGGTTCTCTCAGCATCATTAAACAGGCTGTTTAAAGCAGTTAAGTGATGTGAAGTCTCATTTTCCCTGTGCCTGTCCCATGTTGACCAGTGACAGAGATCACATCCCAAAAAATGGTGGAATAATTCCGATTCATAATTCAGGGGGTACTATTTCTCCAACAGTGCTCTGTGACTGCCTGTCAGACCCTTTGGGAAGAAGATCTGACTACTAGCATTACTATAAAGCAGTCACGTCTCACTAGTGTAAATGTGCCACGTTTTCCTTCTCCCACCAGGTTATGCACTAGCTCTACACCTAAGATAGCTCCAGATAAATAAAAAGTCAGATTCAGTCTGATCAGAGCCACTTGGAACTAGGTGAAGGTCTTCCAGCCAACAGCAAACCCGCACAGGCAACATATGCTCCTGCTGCTGAAACCCAGCTCCTTCACCCTGAACACAACAGGCCCTTTATGTTCCCCGTCTTGCTGTGGTGCCCAGACTGTGCTCCGAGGACCAATGGTGGGGGCACACTTGCTGGTAGTTTGTGGACAGCTGACAAGCCAGTTGGTCCTGGCTCATCTCCCACTGCTTCTACAGGCCTTTAAGGTACTTCATCCTAGAAACCTGGAAGATCAAGACTAGGGAAGCAAACGCAGGGAAAGAGACAGCAAAACAAATGGGGGACAGAGAGGCATGTTCAGGGATAATCGAGGGAACAGTGTGGACAGAAGAGGGAATGAAAGTAAACTGCATGATTGACCACTCTTACAAAACACACACACTGTAGCTACTTTTTGTAAAATTACTTCCTTACATGGTGACTCATTTTTGCAGCTGCTGCAGTGGCCATAGAGATGTAATGCAAGTCTGGGGGGCTGGGAAAGATACTGCAAACAGTCACAAAGAGACAATGGAAGTGTTTAAATGCTGTTCAGATTTGCTCTGCATTACGGAAGACTTAACAAACTCCTTTGTTCAGGAGGGAAGGGTGCAAGAAACAAGTAGCAGCTCAGTGACAGAGGTGATACCAGGCTGAAACCTGGGCTACCTCACTACCCCTTCACCCTGCTGGCTGCCTAGTGTCCGCTGTCGGTCTCCCATTCCATGCCTCACTGATGGCCACGTTGCTCTCAGCCATTCCTGCAAAGAGCTGACTTGGATTCTTTTCATGAGCCCATCAAGCAGCAGAAACAGAAGTCCCCCCCACTGCAACTCAGGGAAGAGTAATTCCTGCTTTCAGAGGCCTGAAAATTACCTGTTGATACCTCAAGTTGCTTTGGTAACACCCTTGCAGAAGGGGGGAAACTGAGATACTGTCTCTGTTGTCTTGTAGGAGGCAAGACGACTTTCACTTCAAACGGTAATCCACCACTAAAGTGAAGAATTCTAATTTTTCTTGTGCTCAGCACCAACACCCAGCTGGCAGCTCAACAACTCCCTTCACGGCACATCCTATCGCATAAGACCAAATGACCTGGACATGACATTATGTGGGACAACTGACATGCAGAGCCCATGAGCAGCACTAAGCTTTGCTCATGTGGGTTAAAAAAAGCCCACAAGACCCTAAAAGAGTCTCTCAGTTTTCAGGCTTTCATTAATAAGACTCTTGAGTTACACTGAAAAATCCACTTTCAGTTCTTTGTGTCCAGCTAGGATGGTGTGAGCGTGTTTCATACCTATTCAGATCCAGGTTTTTGGAGGAAATCAAGGAAAAACATTTTCCTTTTTGTTTCCCTTGCTAAGGCTCACTCACTAGAGCAGAAGCACCAAAACATGATCTACAAATGTGGCACCACTAGGAATCCAGGAGACCTCAGACTTCTGTCTATCCCAGCCTGACTGGTGCAAATGACTACTCTGTACCTGGATCTCCTCAATGGTGTGAACAATGAACGTGTCCTGCAGGTCCTCCATGGCCCCTTCCATCCAGTTATTGAAAGGGGCAGCTCGTTTGGCATATTCCAGGTACAACTGGTCAATTGTTTCCAGTAGCTTCTCTGTCCTCTGGGCATGTGCAAAAAAAGAAAATCAGGAAAGATGGTTAGAGCAGAATAATCACATAGATATGTGGGTTCTCCAAGCTGCCCCTTCCTTTCAGACCTCTCTGGTGCTCCCAGGATGGCACTACAGTAAAAGTCAGTCTGCTGTTAACAGATTACACATAGGATCGATTTTTTCCTCTGAGGGAAAAATCCAAGGCCCTTTGAAATAAAACAAGGACAGTCTTTTCAAGCAGAATGAAATTACAAAACACAGAAAAGTAGAGATCAATCAATAGCCTGAGCAAATGAATGGCACCATAATTGGGCTGGAGGGGGAAAAGCAGGCTAAATATACTGAGATGCAGCCCTTGTTTACAGTCCAGGACGTTCTAGAAGTGCACAAAAGAGCTAAAATTGGTTGCTTGTGCCCACTGCAGCTTGCTTCCCACAAATGACCTGCCCACGTAATCCCAAAGGTCCAACTTGTAACATGTCTCACCTCCAAGGCTTCTCTACGTTTCTGGGTTAGGGCACCCAGATTATCCCACTGATCACAGATCTTCTGGCACCTGGCATTGACACTGGGAGAGTCGTAATAGTCCAGCTCACTATAAGGGGTGGGGAAAAAAAGGGCAGGAAGTCAACTAAAGACCTTTTGGAGAAGAAAGAGAAACCCATTAGAAATCTTTATCAGCTTTGAGGACAGGTTCAGACAAAGAGCTCATGGTCTCTGCAAGTAAAGCGAGCCAGGAAGACAGCAGTATCTAGTTGTGGAGACATTGTATGTTATGGTACATCAAACAGCACAGGACAGGAAGAAAAACAACCACCACCCAAGGCCTCAACAAACACTGGTGCTGGCCGCCTGATGGGAATAACTTGGCACTGGGGGAAGGGAGTACAGACTTTTGCTGAGACTGGGAATAAACAGATTACGAGCAGAGCAATATGTCCCTGTACTCTGCTCAAGAACATCATGCAGGCTAACCACCTGTAACCTCCCTGTACCCCACAATGGGCACCAAAGACTTTACCATGAATGCAAAGAAACTGCTCAAGATCGTTCAAAAAGTTGCATAGTGCGAGTGACAAGGAATAACTAAATTACACAATCCATCCATTTATTTGGGACAATCCCAGAATTACAGCATAGGTTTCTCTCCTATATGCCTGACAGGACTTTGCTGAGGTGTCTATAGGCTGGCACTCATGGAAGATGGGCTGGTAAGAGTATGGGTGGGGAAAGGAGAGCACGGCGGTAAGCTGAAGCTGGTGGTTTGTATTGCTTTGTGCTCTTGGTTCTGCACGTGGTCAAAGAGGGAAAAGCCTGCAGGCAGAGGGAGACCAGCCAAAATGGGACATGTCAGCCCCAAAAGAGAAAACAGAATAACTCACTGGGCTACTGAGTGGCTGTGGGCCATCTGATGAGCATTTCTCTAAGCAGTAATGCAGGTTTAAACAGTTTCCTATTGCCTCCCCCCACCTTGTTTCTTCCCACCATTGTATCGCCCTCCTGAGGTGTGTGGGCATGACTGTTGGTGGAATCTTGCGGTAAACTAGTCAGGAAACTGATTTGGGTTAAAAATAACTTTTTCTTTGCTGGGTTTTTAATCCATATCAGTTCCTTGATCTACTTTGCTGCAGAGCCAGCACTGCAGATGAAAGAACTGCTTCTGAAAGCCTGGCTTGTAACACACCCGTGCTGGATGACAGGGGAGCGGAACACGCCCGGCACCGGCAGCTGCAGCAGCTTCTTCCAGACCCTCTCCATCTCCCTGGCAGTGTATCTCTGGGGGAGAAAAGAGCTCCACCATGGTTTTTCAGGGCATGGCCTCTTTGTTGAGATGGAAGATGGCTTTTGGAAGGACGGCAGAGCCCACGGGTTGGAAGAAATTACCTGTCCCCCCAGCTGAGGGCCCCGCCTTCACTGCTGCTCTCAGTGCTGCAGCTGCTTTGGCTGGCACACAGCACGTGCTCTGCAAGTGGCAGGTCAACTAATGCCTGCTGACTAGCCAGCCTTGGTTTTAATCTTACTGACATGGAGGATTGCCTCGAACCCTCCTCGTGTTCCAAGGTCAATTCTCCAGTGGACAAGGGAGCAATTCTGTAAATCTGTGTTGTTAAAGGAGATAATGATCTTGATCCAATAATCCTGTTTTTTTAGACAAAAACAGTCCTTCAGCCCAAGATTACTGATCTTAGCCCAGACACTAACTTGAGATAGGCCAGTGTGATATATAAATATTTTTAAAATAGGAAACAAAGTCAAAGCCAAGTCGTTCAGACTGTTTTTTGCCAAGAAACATGCAGGGTTTCAAAATCGCGCTCCCTGTGCTGCAGAGGGCAGCTCTTTACCTGCCTGCTATCCCCAGCAATCAACCTCCTGCCCTGAGGAGACCCCATTTCTCCTGGTAACCTGTGTCACTCGTCACTCCAGGAAAAGGAGTGGAGGTGAAGGTTTCCAAGGTGGGGGAAGCAGGGAAGGAGCTGAACTGCTGTGGGGATGTCCTGGAGCAAGTGCTGATGGGGCAAAGGGCCTGGAGTGCCAGCGGAGGCCACAATGGGCTCAAGCATCAGCAGGTTTTTTTTCCTGCCGGAATAATGATTTTTTTGATAAAAGAGAGCAAACTGAGAGTCTGCTATCCTCTGCCATTTCCTTCTGTTCCTGGAAAAGTATGACGGCATTACAACTCTAAAACCTAGCAGGCACCAGTGGCAGGTCAGACTCTTTACAAAAGGGTTCACAGCAGCATAACAAGCTGGAAGAGGATGGAAACTTGACTTGGGAATATAATTCTGCTGCCCCCTCATCAGCACCCACGACTCATCCGTTCTCTGGCCTGCTCTTCTGGTGCATCCGGATACTGGAGAGCAGTATCCTAGATACTGTTTGGAAACACTGGGACTTCCCAGCATTTTTGTGTGGGGATTGATTTATGGCTCTCCAGAGGGCAGAGGGCAAAGCTGATTAAGCCTCCCTGGCCCCAGGGATGGGACGTGTGCCGGGGTGCCGTACTTCAGCTCTTGTGCAATAGCAGCAATCTGTTCCACGCGGTCCTGGTGCGCAGCCAGGTCGCTCTCAAAGGCCTCGTGTTTCTTCAGCAGGGCCTTTATCTCCGAGAGGGTAGCAGTTTCGTAATCCTTCTGCTGCAGCATTGCTTCCTTACCTGGGGAGGGAGCCAGAGGACAGGAGAATGAAGGGCAGGACCCAGTGCCCCCCGCAGGCAGCTCCCCGCTGTGGAAGCAGCCCCCCACCCCAAACACCCTGCCTGAGTCTTGCCCTCACCCGTGCTGGCCTAGAGATGCACAGTCCTCACTTTCAAACCACAGAGCGTGAGTTTGCCATTAACAACAGAGCAGGGCACGGAGCGCAGCTCAAGCCAGTGCTGTCACAGTTTATACTGGACTCGTCTCAGTATGTGCAAACTGGGCTATGCTGGTCCTGTAAATGCCAACTGTAGCATTTACTGTACAGTAACTTTTCCTCTGCTCTGTAGATCTTTTCTATCCAAAGTTTTCACTTTGCAACAGTTAGGGAATGCCAATGTGGCCTCATGATGTAGCAGAACAGACAGTAAGCTGATTTTCATGCATGATTTTCTAATAAAATAAGAAAAGAACCTAACGTTCTTGAGATGAAAATCTTATGGAAGGACCTATGCATGATCCACCTCTTGCTCCCTACATGATGGACAGCACTATGTCAGGCCATAGGAAGCATGTAGGTTGGCATTACCATCTGTCCAGGACTCATGAATGGATGCCTTCTGCCGGAACTTCTCTGCCAGGTGGTCCAGCCTTTCTAGCCTCCGGATCTCATTCAACAACCACTCCTCATAGCCCTTCTCAGCCTGCTCTAGGCCACCCCAGGCATTGTTTATATCCTAGAGAAAGAAGCATACAAAGAAAAGGCAGGTTATAAGTTGGGGGGGCAAGATGTACATCAGCATTAGTCTCCATGAGCTACATGGCTCCAATTGGTTGGAGGGAGAGGATGTGGGCTTTTAATCTCACAGGGTCGAGCAGACAGGTCAGGAAGACAAAGTGACAGACTTAAGATAAGCAGGACTAGCAGTGTCGGGATACACACACTTCCCCACATGAAACTTCAACAAAACCCCAACCATTTTTCAATTAGAAAAAATGTGAGGCACCCAGACATCTCCTCATAAAGGCATGAGACTTGTGAGCCTCGGAGCGGTTTAGATACAGGGAAGCAATGACCACTTGACCCTCTCTTATTATGGCCTCACTGAACTATGTTCTACAGGGATCCTACCACAGAATAGCTCACACTGAAGGTGGAGCACGCTCTGCCCACCCACGGGCAGGAAAAGGAGTCCCATTTTTTAGGCACGATTGGGGTATACTACCAATCTACCCCCACTCACCGAGACCATTTTCCCTTCTGATGGCATGAAGGCTGGCCTGTTGCTGAGCCGCAGCTTGGTCTGCAAGGTGTTGAAATTGATCTCAAGTTGGCACTTCTCTTGGACCTTGGGGGGCTTGTGCAGGCGGCGGTAGTCCCGAAAGTCCTCCAGTTTCTGCTGCATGGCTTGCATGGTGTTCTCTGGAGCCCGGTTCTCCAGCCAGGGGATGGTGCGACGGATCCACTCCAGCAGCTGGAAAGAGCAATGACAAGCCTTGAGCTAAAAATTGTGTTAAAACTACAGATGTTGCTATGATCTCATTAAGGACCGTTTACTTTTTATGTTTGTTGTCAGAAAGATTCTGACACCGGGAGGGCTTCTAAAAGAAAGCTTTCTAGCTTTTTTAGAAGTGGGGTTTATTTTTTAATGAGCAGTCCATTCCCTATCACACTAAGTAGTACTGATTGTTGCAGCACTGCCAATCCAACATGCTTAAGGCGTAACTTTTGCACAATCAGGACCAAACTATGTCCTCAGATTACACTAAAGCCTTAGAGTTTTGCTGGACTGTTGCATAACTAAAGGATGCTGTAAGTCATATTATCCCCAGAAGGGTCTGACAGGAAAAATCAAGTTCTTGCCTCCAGTTACACTCTTCCCGCTTCCTTGAAGTCAGTGTTGCTCTTTGAATAGCCCTCCTTAGCAAACCTATTTGGTGAGCCAGCAAAACGCTAATGCAGTGGCCCGTCTATAGTGTGAGTGGAACACTGACCTGTGCTTTTCATACCAGGCTGAAACCAGGCTCATGGGCTATGTTTGCCCTTCTGTTCTCCATCTTCCCCTCCCTACTTATCTTCCACAAACACACTCCAGTCCACATTTGGCCACTTCTGTAGTTCACAGCTCTCAGTCTGTCAGCCTTCAGCCTTCTCAGCTAACCAAAGCAGCCTCCAGTTTGTATCTTACACAGATTCTTTCCAACTATCAACAAATGCATATTTCTTTCCTTAATTATCTCTAACTTCCATTCTCTCTGATCCAATGCTTGACTTCTGCAGTATATCAGCATACAATTTGTATGAAAGATGTTATGAAGCTGCATAGTCCTGAGGAATGCAAGTTAAACCAGCTTTAGTCTTCCTTTAATTTTAACATTCTGTGGCTGCTCTTAATAAACTGAGAAACTCAGAGGTCCTCTACGGAAGCTTTCTATTTTAAAGCAGATTGCTCTTGCCTTTAATATGTTTGATCTTTTAATTCTTCTCAAGGTAGAAGGGGAAAAAAAAAAAAGAATTTTCCAGGGAAACATGGGCCAGTAGCATTCTCCAAGATTAATTATCAGCGTTAAATGCAATTTCTTTCCACATACCACCACCCAGAAACCAACAGCACCATGGACACCTACATCACTGGCCAGTTTTTCATAGTCTTCCATGAGCTGTTCGTTTTCTTGGTTGACTGCCAGCACCTTGCAGATACGATTTGCTGCTGTCTCCGCCTGACAAAGAGAGGAGAAACGGAAGGGAAAAGTGTGAAAAAAAATATAAACCAAAGCTTGCAGCTTAGCCTCCTGCCACATACCTGTGGGTAAAGTTTCATACCCTTGGCTTTAGCTACCTGTCTGCGCTTTGAAACATCTGTCCTGACCTCTTTGCTTTCTGCTTGATCTTTTATAATAATTTATTTTTCCCTTCTTAGGTGAATATATTACTTCAGAGATTCTCAGCTCTACTGATCCCACCCTATGTGTTGTGAGACAACATTTCTATGCCTTTTCTGAAGCTGCGCTTATGAGAGGGCTCTGTTGTTTGCTTGCTACCAGAGGGACACTGCCTGCCTCTTTACAAAGACAGGGGGGTTCTGCCACCACCTCCACTCCCCTCACCAGCATTCAGAGCTGCAACACCAGTAACTGAGTGCTGGCAAGCTGATGAGGCTCTCTATGTGGTTTTACCCCATGAAAGAACTACATAAGCAAAGTTAATCCATAGACTGGACTTTGGAAAATTACTAATTTTCTTTGGAAGATAAAGTGTTAGATATTCCTCTTAACCTTAAATTCTGCCCAGCAGAGATGTTTTCCAGCTTTCCCTGTATTTCTGGCACTCATTACAGGGCCACCTCCTCCAGCATCTTGTCGCATGACACCTACCATGTATTCAGGGTCTCATGATCCAGCTGAGAAAAGGATTTTTTTTTTTTTTTTCATTTCTGGGTAATCTTTTTGCTTACTGTCCCAAAACAAGCCTCACTAAAAAAGAGTCTGTTGTTACTATTCAGTTTTGTGGGGTTTTTTTTTCTTTTTTCTTTTTTTTTTTTTCCCCACTGTGGGATCAAAACCTCGTTCTCTGCAGGGAGCTGAACATGTTAAAACATGAATCTGGAACAAAGTAAGGATCAGAAAAATCCCAGCTATGAACTCAGGAGCAGTCAGTCTGCCCTGGAGTGCCATGCATGTGTCTGGCATGGGGAACACACAGCAGGCTGATCCTTGCACAGCATGTATCTCTGGCTATCAGCTCCCTTTATCATTATCACGGTAGGTGCTGTGCTACAAGGCCTTGGAGGATGTGTCCCTGTGATGGGTGTCAGGGGACTGCTCAGCACCCTCTTATCGCAGCACAGCCGTCATCCTGTGCCTGGGGAAGGTGCTCGGGCTACCCACAGGATCGCTGTGGGGTCCTCCTGACAGAGGCTAAGTGGAGATGAGGAGGAGGTTACATGCCAACACTACAATAGAGCAGTCGCGAATGCTGTGTCCTGCCTTAAAACTATGTGTGGGACTGATGCCAAAAGAAGTTTTGCTGAGCTTATAGCTTGCAAGTTTCAACCTTTCCTTATTCTTAAAAGGCCTTTTATTAACTGTTCAATCTCCAAGGCTATTTGAGAAAAATCCTCTTAATTTTTGCAGCTGATGCGAAGAATAGCAATAAAGTCATAGGCTATAGAGTGATGCATGGATTGCTAAGGTCCCAGGGGATCCAGCAATCTTATTCATTTGTAAGAAGCTGTAAAAACATATATTAAGTTGTCTGTCCCTTCACTAAAGCGGGCCAGCTAGCAGATAAACAGATATTAACTAATTTAATACACATCAGAGGGACCTGTACAAGAGAAAGAGCAACTTCACTTAGAAAAAAAAATTCTGAAAAAAGGGCAAATGATGGTTACATTTAAGAAAGGTTGTACTTTGATCTGTTTTTAACTGAAGTTTGTACTTTAATGGAGTGGTTTTTAATATCCAGAGAAAACTTCATAGACATGGGACCAAATAGTATGTCAAAAAGACATTGCCAGAGCCCTACTATGACGTTCCTTGTGACTACAAGGAACTAGTGATGCCAAACGTTTATCTCAGTCATCTCAGGAGAGAAGCTCCCTGCACACTCTTAACTTTCTTCTTTTTACACCCCAGGAGCTCACTGCAGCGGCAGCCAGCTGTGCAGGAGGGACCCCATTTTGCAGAGGCATATTTACATGCATCTGACAATAGATTTCCTCCAGCTGCCCAAGTTTTTCAGTATGTGTGTGTATACATGCATGTTGAACATCTGTCCAAACATAAAAGCCCTCTGAATGTCAGCAATTACAACATTATTTGTATTATCCTAACGGCTGAAGTGTAGAGCTTTCTCTTTCCTATCAGAACTTGCTTCCCAATGGTTCCTGTCTAGTCCAGACTGCTCTATGCAACAGTGTGCTGCAGCAATAGGAAAAGTTCTGTGGCCTCTGTCACCATTAATGTCACGAGCAACGCATTACACTGACTTGCTCTAAGCAAGGTAGGACAAAAGGATCCCAGTGCTTTCAGGTAGACTCCACAAATACCTCTCACACTGCTGCTAATGAGCTGATCTGTGGTGATGGCAACCTCAGTGAAACACTTTCAAGTAAAAGAAGAGTGGCACACTAAGATGTTCACATGAGTCCAAGGCAGCTCCCCCTACACCTTCATTAGTGGAGCAGAAAAAGCCATTTTGGTTTCCCCATACTGCTAAAGGCAATGATGCATTTAGGATGCTCAAACAAGACAGGATGCCCACAAGGCATGGAGCAGCACTGAGAAGCTGCACCATCCTGGGTTCTGGAAGCTGCATACCTGTATTCGCAGAGAACCTGTGTGAGCTGCTCAGCTTCAGTGCAGCATCGTGCTGACACGTCACACTACCTGTGCTCAGAGACTGTGGGGAGGGCAAGCCCAGGGCACTCTGCTTGATACCACACTGCTGTGCAATAAGCAATGTGCTGTTTGGTGGACTCAAAATGGAAATCTGAATCAGCCAAAGTATCAGTAATTTCTCTGCCTTTTGGCTTTTCAGTTCTTCTCAAGCCTGACTTGAACTGCTTAGGATGGAAGTGGAGTTAGCTGTCTCTCTAGATCACAGATCCATGTCTCTTTGCTGAGGAGGATCATAAAGGAAGGCATTCCCACAGTACGCTACACAGTGAAGATGCCTGCCTGTTGCTCTCCTCTGGCCTCAGAGGACCACTCCAGAACACTGTATGCCAAACACAATCTCTTAACAAAATGGTAAAACATTAGTTAGGAATTTTCACCCCAGAAATCAAGTTTACAAAATATCAAGCCAACCAGTAGTTGCATGCATTTAGTGTGAAAGTCAGAAGCGGTTAGAAAACAAGCAAACCAAAGCAAGTATACCTACAAATATACATAGATATAAAAAAATGGCATAAAGAAAAAGCAGCCATCTACACACACGTCAGGCTGGGGACCCTGTACCTTCAAAGGCTCAGTATAAGAGAGTGAAAGAAGCAGAAAGCGGCTCATGGGACTTCCCCTTCAGGACTGGTGGCAGTAATGAAAAATCTGAATGAAAAACGGAGTGATATCACAGTAAGTCACCTAACCGTGCATGAGGCGGCAACACATTACAATCCGGGGTGGGGCTTGTACTCAGTAATCACTTTGCATTTGCCTGGGGGTTTGAATCTGTGTCACTCAGCAGCTGGCTAATGTACGCTAGAGAAGCTCCAAAAAGGAGCTGTGCCCCTCCTGCCAGGGCACAGCTGAGCTGCTGGACCATCAGGTCTGCTAAAAAATTAATAAGCGATTAAATCTTTAATCTTCTCTGTAAGCCAGTTAGACTACATGGGATTGAAGCTTTAATAACTAAGAATCTCCATCTCTAGTTCTTGCCCCAACTACTTGGTTCAGGTCCTGAGGCAGTAAAGGGTTGTTTTCAGCTATCCCAGGATACCTAGCATCCACCTAAATTGCTGATGAGAGCATGGGACCTGCTGAGCAGGCTTCCAAATCATGGCATGGGTGCAGAGAGAAGAGGAAGGGATTGGCAAGGGGCATAGCTGCTTTTGCAGCAGGCAACAACCCTACTCATATTGTGGTTTGCTGTTTCCTCAATCTGGAATGCTTCAAGTTAAGCAGACAGCGTGGAGTGGTCCCTCAGGGCCACCAGTCAAACAGCAGGCCTTATCACCGGGCTGGCATGAGTTCTGAGACTACAGTCTTCCTGGGCAAGTATCGGCTGGCTGGAGCTTGCAGCCTGGTCTTAAGGGATTCGAACTATTCACAAAGCAGGATCCTAGCAGAAAAGCCATGACTACACAAATTATGCCAAATGGGCAAGCCTACCGCGCTGCTGTGGGACATATTCCCAGTTACTTGGAAACATGACAGTATCACATAATTTATATGAAACAGGGCTGAGAACAAAAAGCTTGAACTAAAGAGCTGCTCCCTGGAACCTACTGCCTGCATTTGCCCTCTGAAAGCCAGCATCAGCGTGATATCTGCATCAACGCTGCGACCATCAGCACTGATTTGTACAAAGGAGATGGATTCTTCCTGGAATCAAGTTAGCCCTCAAGCTGGGCAACACATGAACTGTGTCTCAAATAGAAAAGGCCTGGTGAGAAAAAGCTGTGGTTTGGGGAAACAGGGAGATTTTACATCTGTTGATAACATGAAGAACGCAGTCTCAAACTTTGGATTTTATTGTTCCAAAGCCTACAATCTGAAATTAGCAGTGATCTCGTAGAAAGGCTTCAGCCCAGCCAGGTTATGGCATGGGAGGAAAGGGTGGACTTTTTTCTTCTATTCAAAGGATTGCAGGGAAATTGCCATTTTGGAGGAAGTTTGCCCAAAGGCAAACTGTGACTATTTGGTTCCAGTGAGGACAAATGTCCCGATGCTAGGCAAAGAGACTTTGGAGTGAAGAGGAAGCAGAGGAAGGAGGACTGAAGTTATGGAAACGTGCAAAGCAGAGGAAAGAGAAATAAAACATACAAGTGGTTTGGGAAACAGAAGAGAAGCACCAGGGAGAAGCAAGGAATGGAGAAGTGTGTAGGCTTGGGAAAGCTCAAGGCCTGGTAGGAACAGACTTTGTGGCTGGAGCACAAAAGTGCTATGTAACCAGCTCACAGATGATTCAGCCTAGGGAAAGGCGACTGACCTAGCAGGGGCCGAGTGGGGAAGGCAGGATGGCAGCTCAAGGACAGGCTGTGATTTCCTGGAGTAGGCTAACTGGACTGTGGTACTTGTGGAGGCGCATTGCCTGGCCAGGATGATGGCTACTAGTCACTGTGGTGACAAATACTGACTCTGCCAGAGCAGGCGTTCATTCACCTTTCGATGCCAGCTTTACCAAAAGCTTTGTCCACCGCTGGGGTGTGAAACTGGAGGGATGGGGCAGCTCAAGTCTGTCTGGAAGGACATTTACATCACTTCTCCAGCAAGACTACAGATGGCACATCCAAGAGCGCATCGCTGGACGCACTGGGCTTCCCTGCAGATGCCCTGGGGCAGACGGGGGGTCTGGCACGTTCCTCGGTGGAGAGGAGTGGTGGGCAGGGCAGGGAGAGGGAAGGGGGGTTGTTAGCGGTAAAGTCTCACCTTCTGCGCCCCTGAGAAGGCGTGGTAGTAACATGAGACATAGGTCATTATGGCCTTCTCATCCGGCCTTAGCGTGCCTATAATATCTGTGCAGAGAAGGAAAAGAGGTTGAAAGGATAAAGTAAGAAGCAGCACACAGAATAAAACAAAACAGTCATGGGTGGCGTGAGAGAGGGGGAGAAAACTTCCCATCATGCATTGCAGGACAGGCCAAACAGATTTCCATGCGGAGAGCTGGGAATTCGGATCAGAAGGTGGCTAGCAGCGTTGGCTTGTGGCTCAAAGAGGCACCCCTCCTTCCCCCCCCCCGCAATCCAGGGGGATCCTGTGCTAAGGATCCGGGCTCTGCACCTTCGTAGCTGCGGTCCGGGGTCCTGGCCCGAGGACGCAAATAGGCTGTTTGGAGGTTTGAACGCCCGCGCTCGAGGCCTTTCTGTGCAGCGAGGAGCTAGAGATCAGAGCCTTCCTACGCAGTGCGCTTCCTACACACTATCTGCTCTGCTGCAACACGCACTGCCTGTTCCTACGGCACTGAGGTACAGGCGGCTGCTTGGTTTTGGCGAGAGATGTTTACAAGGTTGCACCCACAAAATGTTTTCCTTAAGCGACTCCATTACCAACAGGAAAATGGCTAAGCCAGACACAGCAAGGACTCAACTGCCTGTTTTCCAGCATGGTGGGTGAGAAAAGAGGAAAAAAAGAAACAAATGAACAAAACTCGGGCGTGATAAGTAATGCTCTGTTTGCAAAATCACCATGGATGTACTCGTTAGACATGCTTAGTAAGCCCCAGGTGAACTGGGACTGAATTTGTGGCACAACTTGAGAAAGCAGCAGGTTCAGACCTTGAAGCAAGGGTGCGGGAACCTGCAGCATACATAAGGTAAAAGATAAAGCTTTGGGTACTCACTGAACCCTTCATAAAACTACTAAGTCAGCTCTCTTTCTCCATCTTTGAAAAAGGGGAAAAAAAAGTGACTAGGTATCAGCCCTGTTTCCAGTGGGGGCAAGCTGCAGTGTCCTGCTGAGCAGAGTGTCTACATGGTGGTCTCCACCTTCATGACACCAAGCATCCTAGCTCAGATTTCCTAGGAACAGGGGATGCAAGTCCTTGGCCATCAGGTCAGCAGTTTGGAAGGCAAATGGAGAAGGCAGAGCTCCGCACTCCCTTGGATTTGTGTGGGTGCCAAGGTGCTGGCATACGTAAGTGCCACGGGAAGTACCACTGACTATAGGGAAATGGGACTCCTGGCTCCCTTGCCCCACGTATTATGTCTGGGGCACCACTTTGAACCAACAGCCAACTCTACCAAGAACATAATAATAAAGATGCCCGTAGCTAGAGAGGAGAGAGAGAAAGAAAAAAAAAGGTTTGGACATTAGCAACGGCACCAGGTGTGCTCTGTGGAGGGAGCTTGGGATCCTGCGATACCTTCTGGGCTCCTGAGAAGGCGTGGTAGAAGCTAGAAACATAGGTCATGATGGCTTTCTCGTCAGGACGGGCAGTTCCAACAATGTCTGTCAAAAAAAACCTCACGTTAAGAGCATAATCAACTGATGGGAGGAAAGCAAAGGAGAGGGAGCGCCACAACTGTCCAGGAGGCCTGCTGGGGTATATGCTTGTCATAGCAACTCCACAGGGCTTCCCAGCATTCCCCAGAAGATGTGTCTCTCTCAGAAGTCAGAATCACCCTCCTGGTTCCCCTCCCTCATGATAAAATTGCTTCCAGGGTCTGGCCAGGCTAATGCAGCCATTTGTCAGCACGTCTCGTGTCACAGCACTTCCCCATCCTGAGAAAATTACTGCAAATGGTGGGTTGAATCAATCCAAACTGGCAGCAAGTTGACATGGCTTTTATAGATGTATTATACTGCAGTTCCTCCATGCAGTTCTTCAGGAAAGATCCTTTCTCCCTTCCTTTCCATGCCCCCGTCCTTCATTTCAACACAATGATGGCTTGAATTTCAAAAGGCCCTTTCATTAGTTTCAGGAGAAACTCAACACCTCCAGATCAGAATTAATGGTGTGGAGGAATGCACATTAGCTCCACTCTATGAGGGAGGAGTGTGATCAGAAAAGAGCAATGGGAGCTCCTGCAAGGGGCCCTCTTCATCACTGCTAGCTTTGCTGAGATGTGAAGCTAGATCTGCTTATTTTGGAGGTAACTCTATTTCCTACAGAATGGCAGGAAGCACTTGAATCTGCTCTAGAATCCTCATGATTTTTTGTGACCTCAGCATGATGAATGCAGGGAAAGCATGACTCATCCCTAAGGATGGGAAATACTACCTAAGAATGTCAACGTCCTGGTTATCCAAATGCAGGTTCACTGGGTTCAGCTGTCCTATTCCCACCTTACCCCCTAGTTCCTCTCAATCCCTTACTTAACAAAAGCCTTTAACTGCTTCTCCTGTCCAAACCAAGCCTGAAGCACAGCTTTTACCATTGAAACTATCTGGCTTCAGGCAAACAGCCAACAACCAGTGAACTACTTCAGGCTGTTGTTTGTACCTCAGAGTTAGTCTTCATAGTCTGTTGCCAAGCTGGTCCTGACAAGGCTCTAAAAAGTAATCCTTGCTGTCCCAGTGGCGTCAGGGAAGCAGTCACAGTCAGTAGCAAAAGCACCACTGAACAACATGGATCTCTGCCTTGGCCTCCAGACCCAGCCAGTGATGGATCTCCACGCCCAACACTTCTGAATAGTCAAGAAGCAGCAGTTTATACTATTAATATCATGCCTCCAAAAGGAAGATCACCAGCAATGTCAGAAGGAGCCCAGAAAAAAAATCTGGAGCAAAAGGAATGCAGTCCTACACCATACATTAACTCAGTACTATGCCTGCTTCTTGAAAGGGAACACTTCAGTCAGCAGTGGACACAGCCAGCTGTTACTCATCTCTGCCTAGTGTGTTAACCCCACGTTAAGTTCTCCGCACCATACTCAAGACTGAGGGGCACAGGAGGAAGAGGGAAGCAGAATATGTGATTCATTATTCCATTGTAACCTTTTCCCTATATATTTAGTATGTGGTGATGAAGGGAGCATTCAGAAGTTACTGAAATCTTGTACAATACAAGTCCACCTAGAAGAAGTGGGAAATTTCTTGAGAAAAAGCAAGTTAAAAGCCATTGGGATTGTACTTTACCTTCTGCATCCAGCATCTTGGGAATATCCAGATATTTCTCAGCCACATCAAAAGCTGTGTTTAGATTAGTGAGAGGATCATCCTGGGAGAGAAATAGAGCCAGAGCATCAGCATCAACTTGTAACAAGGTACACAGCATTTCCCTCAAAACAGAGCTATTGTGCTTGGTTTGGTTCAGGTAACTGCGCTGTCCAGATACAATTATGTGTGAATCCTCATGTAGCAGGATGGAATAATTAGCTTCCTTTTGAAAGCAGAGCCTGGAGACTCATGATATGATAATTAACATATAATCTATGCACTTGCAACAAGAAGAAAGAATGCATTTTGTCTTGAACCTAGTTTAAAATAAAATTAGCTTCACATCATCCTGATAGTAAACGACCATATCTCACACATCTCATGCTTGTATTAGGTTTGCAACTTTGATTTTAAAGAACTGCAGAGCCATGTATCTGTTAGAACTTCTAAGCAATACTAAAATAGTAACAACATCTGCAACGGGTGCTGTCCTTAGCTAGTGTACAGTTTGTTGAACACCAGTTGAGTGGGAGGAAGAGAAATGTTTTAACAAATCTCTACAAAATAAATATATATAAAAGTACACATTTTGTCTGAGTATTGCTTTTCTTCCTAGGAGCTGCACAGGCCTTGTCATTTCCTTAGTACATTTCTATACCTCTATATATAAACCTTCTGCTGTGGCAGGATGCACTTCAGATACAGACATCAATACACAGTAATCAAATCCTAAACAAAGTTAAATGTGACTTATCACATCATGAGTCATATAACAAAGGTAACTAGATTTTGAAGAGCCACACGAGAGAGTATGAAATGCAGATGTCACTGGAAATGAAAGACCTCTGCAAATTGTTTCCAGCATTCAAACACAACGATCAGAAACAAGACACTTGCCAACCTGTATGAGTCCCTCATACAAGCCTGATCCCTATATTCCTGTATATCCATGATAGTAAGTTTCTTTATGGCACTGGTCATTATGTAGCGCTTGGATTACAGCCTTCATGAAACTAGGAAACTGAGCTAATCTGAAAAGCAGTTTCCTGCAGCATTTCCCTAGGAATTAATGCATGTATTAGGTTGGCATCCCATATCAGCATCATATTCCCTTGGGTGAATGTCTCCAGTAGACTGCAGTGTTCCACCTACCAAAGTAAATCACACACAGAGGCCATCAAAACAAACATGACCAGTGATCTGTATTTAGTCCACTGGGACTAAATATTAAGCAAGGAAATGTCGCACGGGCACACTGTGATGAAATCAGCAGCTGTCACACATGGTAACAGGCCCCCATCTCAGTTTCAAATAGTACTTTATCCCTAAATAATATACTTTCAATGGTGACTATGTCAGATACGTATATCTATATCCACTTCTTCAGAGTTTAGCAGCAGTGCAGGCAGGGGATTTTTATGATCCTCCAGCCACAAGCAACCACCCTATGCCATGGAATTAGAGGCTGGTACCATTCCAACTTTAGCCTACTTTTCTCCTGTACCTGCTGTGGAGAAGCCTCTATGAACCCAAAGTGTAAGCAAAAGCCTAACTTGAAGAAGTGAGACTAGCTGCTATATAACATACCTTGTTCACTATGTGTAGACAGGGCCTTAGCTCCATTTGAGAAGGAAAAGTAACAGCCTTTCACTCAAGCTCAGGAGCATCCAGAAACACCAAGTGGCAGCTCCCTTGCCAGTTTTCCCCTAGCCCATGTGACATTTTCTACTTCTGTAGAATGTCACCACTGTATACCAAATTTCAACCTATGCTGACCATGACCACCATGGCATTGCTAATGCTCTGACAAAGTGTTTAGTATTAACACAGACCCTTCACTAACACAGACTCATCTGAGCCTCTCCTAGAGGAAAGGGAGGAGCAAACTCACCACAGATAGCTTTCCTATCAGTTTGCAAGTAACAACACCAGGAGTAATGATGCCAAAGGTTAAAAAGAAATTTTAAGCTGGAAGTTGGGAGAGGTTTCCTGATGGGAAAACTTACTGGGCTTGGGCACTCCCAAAGGAAGGGCTGGAAGTCTTAACATGTGGGAAACTGCAGACTCACCAAATGAAGCCAGTAGGCAACTTTTTCATATGCAAGAAAGATGTGTGATTGCACAGTCTCTTGGGGAATGAAACTAAAGACAGTGCTACCGAATGCAAGCTACCTAAGTCCAAGAGTAGCTCCAAGATGGGCAGAGAGCTAAACCCAAGCAAGACCCTGTTCCCTATGGGAAAAGCTTCACCCCTCATGGACAGTGGAGCTGCTCACCACAAAAGCGATGTTCTGTGCAAGAAATAGGGTTTCCCTGGGGGCTTGTCCAGGGCTACAATAGGGTCTTGAGCCCTATGAAATTCCTCCAAACTCCACTGCTTTCAGTTCCACCCCATTGTACATCAGTGTCCTGGGTCTGAGTGAGTGGCTAAACATTATTTCAAGTCACCCATTTCAGTTGACTCCCATGAAAAGGGATAAAGTATTATGGACTGGCCTGGCAGCTCCAAGCCCCGCAGTGCAACACTGCAGCACCACAGCTGCAGGCACGCGTTAGGGACCCAAAGGCAGCAGAGCAAACAAAAGCCAAGCCACCTGCCCCTGATTCCTTCCACAGTTGAAACACATACCCCAGAAGAGCACTGACCCAGATGAGGTTCTGCAGAGGTGCCTCCGTTCCCACTCTGCTTACATGAACATAGAAATGGCAGAGACATGAAGAGGAACAGTAACTTGCCAGGCTCTAGCTGGGCCAAATGCGAGGAAATATAGTTTTACCACAGAGGAATTACATTGTTTTAACGGTGTCAGACAGCAAACCTGCCCTAAACAGATGCCCACCTGGCACGTTCTCTGCTTTTGCTGACTAAAGACTACTGCAGCTCCTCCTCTTTCACCACAACCCTAACTCACACAGGGAGACTTCTCTCTTCCTCCAGCTATTTCCAAGTCCTTGCAGCACACAAGGTTGCCATGGCAATTATTGCAGTGTGACATAAAAAAAAAAATCTTCTATTAACTAGCAATCAAGAAAGGAGATGGAGGGGGAGGAAAATTGAGAGAGAGCAAGCACTTACTATATCTGACTCAGTTGAAGACACTAGGAAAGAAATCCAGTTGGTACAACTCATGTTTTTCAGGAACATCTGTAATAAATGCATCTAACAGGGCAGTACACAGACCACATTTCTATATAGACTTCAGTATATGAGAGGGTGTCTGAGCCATCAGTCAACCATTGTATTTGATAAAAAAATCTTCGATGTGGCCACAGTTGAGCTACAGTCAGGGTAAAAGGAGAAATGGAAACCCCATCTTCTGCATATCCATCACATGCAGACTATGAGCTGAATCTCAAGATCTTATCTACAGTGAGCTGAACAACAGCAGAGGCCCGCACTGAATAGCAACCATCTGAGCAAATAAGTAGCTGTGGTGTCAGGGAATCACTGACACCAAGCTGGCTAGAGTTGCACCTTTTATTTTGGGGTCTGGACTATAAGAGTAACTTCAGCTAGGCAGTGCATGTAGGCAGAAGAGAATCGTGCTTGCCCCACTAATATAGCCAGACTAGGAAAAATAGCTAGGAACCTAAACTCAGTACAAAACCGTGCTGACAAAAGAAGATGCTAACTTTTGGGAAGAAGACATGCAGCTACACTGGCTATGTCTTGCTAGCATACACTGCCAATACAGGGTCTGTAGCATAGACACGGCTTCTGTGAAGCAGCAGAAAACACTAAAACTGCACAAGAATGCCACCCAAACAGGAGGCACAATGCCGACCTCTTGGCAGCTTAGGCTGATGTTCACACCTCTACCTTGTGTGTGTGTGTACACAGAAACACACACATCATCGCCAAAGGCACATACAGCTGAGATGCCATTAATCACTTCCTAGAGGTGGAAGAGACCTGGAAGTGAACCTCTAATCTACTATCCACTGTGATGGCTGCTTCTCAGCAGCCTTTCGCATGTCTTTCTCCGCAAGATAAGTCCCCTGCAGAGCCAGGAATGATTCAAAATGTTGGGGCTGGGGTTTTTTTTTGCTCGTTTTTGAGGGAAAGGGAAGAGGGGGGAGTAGGCTCCAAGGAGAAGGGCAAGAATCAGTTGAATTGAGCCAAAGGGAGAAGAAAGAAGCAATAACAGAGGAAACAAGTGACAGAAATAGTCCAGGCAAATACTGTTTAGGAAGGTGCCATGTTTACACATTCTACAAATGGGTTTCAAAGATCTAGAATAAAAAAAGCAACTTCCCTTCAGCACACGTCAACTGCCAGAGCTAAAGTCTAGGCTCTGAGCTAACTTCTTCCCAGCTATTTGCTCAAGATTTCAGCTGTGGTAGAGTTCTCAAACATGCATTTAATCTCATGCCTTTGAATGAGGCAGAACAACAATAAAAATGATACAGAAAGAATCAGAAGGCTGCAGGAGGGCAGAGGGAACCTGATGAAGGATGGGATCAAAGGCAAGTAGAGAACAAAAGATGCTGGTTTCCTTTAACCTTGCTCCAAGGAGGACAAATCCTTTCTCATCTACATTGATTTTGGCTAAGACAATCACCCTCTCTTTCACCTTAAAAAGCCTGCAGGCAATATGACCAAATAACTAACTTTTCTTCACTCTAGTTTCACTTTGGTTTGGCTTAGGGCTTTGCTGATAACGGAGAACACTGTAGCATTTACCCGGCAGGGTTTGTCAGACACACATTGCTTAGCTGCCTTTATTTTCCCAAGATCAGGCACTGAAAATGTAGCTCTAATAATTCATTTTTTTATCGCTGCTGTTTCTGTAAACAGTTGCAGTCTCTCCTCACTGTTTATTCATCATGTGCTGACTCCAGACACCAAAACTGCTCAGATAATATAATTGACTGCTCTGCAAGACAGTAAAGATCTAAAATGTTACTGAAAAGCAGATCAGGCATTGTACAATTCATTGCCTCAAGGATGCAGCTAATTTGATTAACTCATTTACATATTGCCTATTTGCACAGTGATCCAAGAGCCGAGGTCTATTACTGATGGGCTTCTGCATTTATTTCCCTAACACAGAGCACGCACACACTTCGTAACGACCAGCCTGTGAGATCAGATGGTCAAACTTTTTGTGTGTATTAGTGCCAGTAATGACACGTGAATTTTGCTCTTGGTGACATTTCACTCCACATGTGCACAGATACAGTGAAAGCGGATCTCAGCAGACTACAGGAATGCCAGTAGGATGAGAACCCAGTTTGGTCTTCCATCACCCTGCTGGGTTAAGACACTGCTGGCAGCACAAACCACTGAATGCTTATTTTCCTCATCCACTTAGCAATATTGTCTCCAAGACACGCAGGTAGCAAACTCTGGATCATCTAGATACCATGTTACCCGTGGCAATTTTTAAAGTAAAATTGAGTTTTATGGCAAATGTTTTTCTGGCACCTGACACCTACATGCTAGGAGAATCCCAGTACTGCACATGGCTCAGTGCTAAGATGGAAGCATGTGACCAGTGTCCAGTGAGGGCACACAGACGCCTCAATGAGCTTCTGCACTTCAACACCAGGTATTCGGTTTCTATCCAAGCCTCCACGGAAATGTTAAGTCTGATTTGACTCGCTAGTCTGTGACGTTAGCACAGAACTAGTCTTACATTTGGTGTTACTGAATTTGCCAGCTTTTGCTCATCAGCTGGGACTGGGGCACGTGTGTCTCATATAAGGCTGTCTGAAAGCAGGGAAAGTCAAGCAGGAAGCTCATTAATTTCACGCTTCACTAAGAAGCCTGAATGTACTGATTCATCCCTCCTTCCTTCCCCCCAATCCTGCAACTGCCAGCTTGTGCTGAAGTTCTCCAATTACGTTTATCAAGCTAATTCTTCTCCCTCTTTATTTCCAAGGAGCCAAGCATCTGGTCTGACAAACAAATTGAGTTGTACCTTTCGTAGCTTCCCGTAGTCGATGAGCTCTGGACGGTGTCTATGAATTAAAGCGCAGAAACCAAGGCCATCCTTCCAACTACAAGAGACACAGAAGAGAGCACAATGAACAGTGCTCAGCTGGGCAGAGACACAGTGACAGGCATGAGCATGAGGGAAGGCATCAAGACAGCAGGACAACTAATTCTGGTTTAGTTTCTAGTGAACAGTGCTTCTGTAAGTGCTGGGAAGGAGGCATGCCTTGTACCTGCATGAGACTGTAATAAAGATTCATTTCAACCCCTACAAAAATCTACTGTGATTAGGACTTGCCCCTTGCACTGCCACCTCCTTTTTGCCAGTTCTCTGTGCTGAACTCTCTGTGCATGTCCTGCGGAGCATGCAAGGACAGGTGCAGAGCTCAGGGTTGAAAAAAGATGTAGATACAAACCCTAAAGGAAGAACAAGTGCATTCGTTAAGGAAAAGGCAGATGCCCATAGCTAGCTCCACTATAGTACTGGCTAGCGTGGATGGCACCTAAGAGCTCAAAAAAAGTGCTTTCCATTTATATGGTTCATACAGCTGTTCAAGATATGCTGGAAAAAACACTATTATGCAGAATCTTCACTGGAACGCCTACCAATTTGGAAACAGTAAGAGCAGATAAAAAAAATCTCTCATCCCTTCCCAACTCTGCCATATCACAAAGCTTCTGGTGAAGCCCTTATTTCATGGCTCCTGAAGTGTCCTGACTTTTCACAGAGCAAAAGTTGTCTTGCTTAGCCTGTGGCACATACACTGCTCTCAGAGGACTTAATACTTTGAAGAACTTTACAAAAGCAGCAAGTGTAACAAGAATGAGGGATTGAGATGTAAGTACTTGGATCCCCTTATAACCACTGATTTTAATTTCCTAGGTGTCTCTCTGGACTACACCGTTACTGTGTAACATGCATCTGCGTTGCCTTGGGAGTTCTGCTGGGAACATTGTTGAATATTCCAAGCGACATATGAAAATAACAGATATTGTAAAACTGTGTTCTTGCCTGTAACTCACCTGATATGGAAGTTCTGGATGTTTACATTTTTGTAGGGGGCTGTCTTCCTCTGACACCATAACAAAAGTCCTTCTTTAGCAGATGTCTCTAGATGAAGAAAGAAAACACACCAATTAATTCATTTTCTTGAAAGCAGGAGTCTCTGGAGCATATGCTAGAAAAACACGACCAACTCCTCTTTAGTAGAGACTCCACTAAATTGTGCTTTATTTAATTTCATTTGTCAGAAAACTCCTTGTTTAGAATAGTCTACTGGGATAGTTTTGTTACTATTATTTTCTTAATGAGGTTCTGTAATAAGAAGATAGCTTTTGGGGATTAGAGAGAGTTTTGTAGGACTTGTAAGAGATAGGTCCATTTTCAGTGCTAGTCCCCAGATCAGCCTGCAAGAAATGAAATAAATTCCAACATCAAAGTTGGCTTTCAGGCTTCGCCATCCTTTTGAGCTGCTCTTAAAATCCGTTACAAGAAGAGGATGTGAAAAACTCTTCTCACTGTACCTGAACCTGGCCAGAACTGTCAGTGAGATGACAGGGCACCTTGGGAGGGGTAGCTCCCTACAATCTTCCAGTGACTCACCTAAGAGCACATTCTGGGTCTTTTAAGTGGCAAAGCCATTTAGCTACCCCAGTTGTTCATTGTTGAACAACAGTTGGAAAGAACGAAGATTTACCTTCAACTGAGATATCCTGAATGGCAAAACGAAGGATGATGGTCCAGATCATTCCAAGAGTCATTTTAACATTGCCATCCACGATTTCTATGGAAAAAACAAACAAACAAACAAACAAACAAAAAAAGTAGAAAGAGAAAAAATAAAAGGCATCAAGTTGCAAGTGCAAGTCCTAGTAAAACAGAAGCATTGCAGGGCATTCTTTTTTGCAGATAGGAGAATGGAATTCCAGCTGAAAACTGTTCTTCCCCACCTCCCCAGATGATCTGCTGGTACAGCACAGTCTTGCCCAGTATTAATCAGACTGGTTCTCCTGCAGTACAATACTGACTGTAAAACAGACATTGATGATGCAAAAGACCAGGAATAAGGATCAATGTAGATTAGTGCAATTCCCCCCAGGGGCCTAAAAACACCTTGTTCAGGTTTAATTCTGATCACTTACAAGCCATATAAGCCAAACTGGGCAAAAGAAAAGCCTCCCTCTCTTACTCTGATACGTCCACTCCAAGTCACATATATAACTGCCCCAGCATATTTAGACCAGAACCACCAGTGAGACTTCCCAGTGCAGATGAGCTCTGCCAGCTGGTTTTGTCATGTGAACAAGATATCACTAAGAAAACCAAGAAACATCAACATTTTAATTTCAAAGAAGCCAAAATGCTTTTTGTTTCAAAGAAGCCTGAATCTGCCAGACTGCCTGCAATAGGACTTCTTTCAGTCATATAATTGCCAAAAGACACAACAGAGCATTCATCAAAGTACATGCATCCTGCTTGACGAGGAAGCTGAGACTCATGCTGACCAGCCTGAGCAGACCATAACATAAACTAAGATGTTAAACAGATTGTGCTTTATTGCTCATTGGACTCCACAATATAAATCAGCAAGGGTCAACAACTCAGAGGTTTTAGAAAGTGAGTGCTTGTGTGTGTGAGGTATGATCTGTTTAGGATGGGGGATCAAGATTCTGGGGGGAGGTGCTGGGGGGATGCTGGCCCAGAAAGGGGCTTCCACTATGTATAGATTAGTGCCAAACAGTGAGCAGCTGGGTCTCAAGTGCTGATCCTCAGCATCTACAAAAATTCCACGCAGACTATATATACACATTATAAAATTTACAGCCTTCACTTTTTTGGATAGTGAAACTAGCCAAGCTGCCTTCTCCTACTCATTCTCTGGGAGGTTCCTGCATGGCAGAAGGATCTTTCACAAACAACTGACAAGTTACAAGAGTATTTTCAGTAAGAAAGTGGTTAGAATTAACCTACTGTATGGAGGTAGAATAATTCAAGTCCTAACAAGGCTGCCAGAAACCATTTTTGTACTATGGTAGACACCTCTGTGCCAATGCTTCCATAAAGCCGCCCAGCAGGAACACATCATGCTCTGGGGCAAGTAGAAGAATGCAGTATAGGCAGCTGTCACCTGTCTGGATCCTGTCACAAAAGTAACAATATTTGAAATTTTCCTTTTAAGAGGAAAAGCTTTTTTTTAACGGCTTATGAAAAATATTCAAAATGTGAATCTCAGTGCATTCAAAACCAACAGACAAGTAGCACGCACCCCAAACACATTGTTTTAGAAACTGTGTCCATCTGGTCCAAATTCCTGAAAGCTTGTGATTTAGTGATACATGTGGTGCAACTTCCAAGCATAAATTAGAAGGATAATCTCCACTGTGCTTTGACATACATCCGCATTAAGGATTTACAGATTTAAAAGACAGAAAACAAGACACACCACTTTGCTCCACTGCAGTAAACCTCTGTGCCTGCTCCTTTCCACACCTAAGAGTACACACAGATATCTTGGTGGGCATCTGTTCACCCAGAATTAAATAGCTAGAAACCTTTCACTGCAGTGCAAAAGAACTACAGTCATTGTTGATAGCAGTTGAGAGGAAAAAAAACCTGTGACAGTTTTCTCACAAACTAATTTTTTACAGGTATTTTGGGGTCAGTGAGTTGTCTGCTAGGCTGATGTAGATGATGTCATGTGATGGCAAGTATATTTAGTTCTGTACTTTTTGCATTCTTCACTCCTCCAATAAAGTACTGCAATCAACTTAAAGGAAAATCCTTACTATTGTTACAAATACCTGAGATACTACAGTTAAAGTATAAAAGAAAGCATAAATGTTTTCAGGTTGTTTGTTTTGTTCATGGGATAGATCTTTGTGGAGGTTTTCAAAAAGCAAAAAGCCCCAGTGCTTGTAAAAGCCACAGCAGTTGGCAGGAGGACCCTAGGATATATTTAAGATCTGAACCTAAATCGAGCTCTTTATTTTAATGGACTAGATTAAAATCTGATGGCAATACTTTAATGTTGAAAATGCTTTATGAACACTAATAAATCAATCAGTGAGCTGAAACAGGTAATTAATATTACTGTTCCATGGATTTAATTGGCAATAAAGATCAAGATACTTACATAAAACCAGATGGCGTTAAGTTGCTAAAGTGGCATTAGAATTCAGCACTATGCTCTGGTCACGTTCTCAAATTCCAGTTTTATAAAGTTAGTTGGGGAGTTAAGGTGGAAAGCAACTCTTCTACCCCAGCCCTCTTCATTGCATTACTCATTTAAAAAGGAGGATGTGTGCTCCTCACTCCCATGTCTGATTCTTCCATAGCCGTGCACCAAAGCAAAGCTACTCTGGAAGAAGCCCAGAATATTTTCACCACTTCATCTCTACATATCATTTTACTTTTTCCTGACAGAGAGAAAACCCACCACCTACCAAGCAGATACCGATATCAGTGAGATTAGCAAGTGATCTATCCCATGATGCAGATTTAACCAACCACACCATCCCCAGTCTTTTTTTTTTTTTTTTTTTTCCCTTTTAAATAGAGTTGACAAAACTGTTATTATTTGTTAGAAGCAGGCAAACATTTTTCATTTCTGGAGCTAAAAAACTTCTCCTGGCAACCTGGTTACAAAGTCAACCAGCCTGATCAGAAAGGCCACATGCTCGCTCACTTAGTTTTCCACCCCTGCATTGCCCAATGCCAACCTCCTTTTCCCTTTAGGATCCCTTCAGCTGCTGCCAGTCTCTTTCTAATACAGTGGAATATGGCCAAGAAACAAAAGTGAAAAACATGGTTGCAAAATAGGTTTGCATGAAGCCTTCTGCTTCCTGGTGCTGAAGAGAAAGAAACTCCACAGGAATTGTTAAAAAATTGAACATAACACTACAAAGCTAGAACAACCTAATGCTTAATTAAAGATCCTGTGTTTGTTCCCTGCTGATATAAGTAAGGCTCAGTAATGCAAGAGAAGTTCACATATTAAAAGGCTAATAATCAGACATTATCTTCTGTCTGACTGTGCTTTCCAAGTGCTTTTCCTAGTCAGGACCTCTGCAAGCATTGCCTGCACTTTCTCCAGCACCAGCAGCTGTTGTCTGAACAGCACCAGCAAGTGTATGTTATTAATGTGATTTACATTCAACTTGGGGGTGGATCAGTTGCTGGCTAAAGCTGGTGATGCAGCTGCATCTACTGGAAATAAATTTTTTGCACCAGTGAATATGTTCCCACCCAGCTCCCATTATTGTACCAAACACCATGAACAAAATATGCAAAGGCTACAGTACCTTCATCCATTTGACAGCCAGTTAAGGGCCTGAGAAATATTCAGTCCTTAGGAGCAAGACTGACTGGCTACATAGGCGTGGCTTTTAAAATGCATGAACTTTAAAATGAATTTTAGATTAATTTTAAAACTTTAAAAATGATTTTTTTAAATGCATGAACTCATTTTGAAAAATGATTAAGCTTACTTTTCTACCCTGGCCTGGGTAGTTAGAAGCAGAATCAATGCTACAGAAACTGTTATCCCCCCTAGCTACTTCTGAGTCCCTCATGAGAGCACAGCCTCTGGTTACCTCATGGAGAGAAGAAATTGCAGGGGATGGACAACTGGTAGGATAACATTATGATCTGGGAATTGGAGACATAGAGCAACAATGGAGACATAAAATAAAGGCTGTTCTGCATTTTGTTTATCCTAACAAAAGCCTAATAAAGCAGGACAAGCAGCCGTGCCCCTGTGTTCAGCAAGCATGTTGCTAATGATAGTCCAGCCAGGTTTAGCACAGATGGTGGGCACTGTTGATGGGTGTGTGCATCTCAGCTCCCTAATTGTGAGCAGGCAGGAGACAGGGACAACTATAATGCTACATTTCACTCACTGACATGGAGAGACCTTATTTCTGCACACACACACACACACACACCCCTTTCCACTGTCAAATGTATGCTTGCTCTGCCTGGTGTTTCAGTAGGAGTTTTGCTCAGATGGGACTTCTGCAATTGCTGAAATCTCTAAGTTTTATTTCTCCTTTCACTCGTGCAGGTGAGAATAGGGATCAGTTCATCCAAAATTATCTTTATGCTGAAATAAGCCACATCTGTCTAAGAAAGCAGCAACTTTCTATGCAGATTAGAGGTACAAATAAAACAGTCTTAGGGTCACATACTTGACCTATTCAATCTGTTAAATCCCAGGAGCATTTGACACCAGTATGGAACCCATTACAGCAAAAGATGGCTCCTGAGGTGTCAGATGACAGCGAGATTTAAAAGCAGATGAAAAACCATTTGGAAGCTGCACCAGGCTTGTGCCTTCCTTGATCCAGTTTTACACAGATCTGCTTTATGCTGCAACTGCTTTGATCATACAGACACTGGCTAATAAAGATGTTTAGAATCATCCTGAATTGTTAACAGTCAAAGATGGTTGTATAAAGCAGCTCTTAACCCTCACTGCTTATTCTGTATGCTTAGTTCACCCTCCATTTAATGTGGACACAGAATATGTCCTGCACTCGTGCTGTGTGTAGGAAGTCCTCTTCAACTCTGGTTCTCGTTCACTGGGATGTGGCTGCAGAGTTTGGCTTGTAAACAGCAGAGAGGGATCTTTATTTGATGAAATGCGAGATAAATGCCACAAAAACATTTTTGCTGGCTTTAACTCTGATTAAACACAAGGTTTCACAAGGCTTAAGCCAACCTGAGGTTCTCCTTGGGATTCTTTCTGGAGCTTATTTTTTAACCACAAAAAAATAATAATAAAGCAAGCCAGGACATTGATGGCCAATGCCATTTGTCTAATGTATACAAAGAACTACAGCTGGGCTGCAGACTTCACACAGGACCCTGCTGCCCAGCAAATACCCAGAGATGGAGCAAGGCACCTTGAGGTGAGGAGTGTGCTGCCCTAACCAGTACCACTACACTGCCATTGGATCGTGGTTTTCTCCTCTGGGAGAAAAGCAACCTGGAAAACTTCCTAGATCAGTCCAACCTGACTTAGGCATTTACAGCTCATATTTTCGGTGCAGTGTTATGACTGCGTCATTGGCTTTTATCTTCTTTATTGCTGCATGATGTCTTCTTAAAGTCTGAAAGTAAGCCCTTAAAATTCATGCTGTGGGACGGTTTATAATACCTTCCATGGGCAGAGTAACTTCTGCTGTTCAAAGTAAAAGTCCACTTTTGTAGCGGATGTATAATTTATTGCACACCAAGCACCTGGATGGATCAGGCAGAAGCCCCTGCAGCAGGTTATGTTTCCTGGTGACAACCAGAGTGGCCTGGGCTCGATCTGGGTGCATGGGTAGCCCATGCTGTGATCACCCTTAGATGCCCTGAGCTGGCATCACAGCATGGGCCCAAGCACTCTGTACAAAAATCAAAGCAAACCTTGATCCAAACTTCAGTGCTGTGCTACCTTTGGTAGCATAAAGAAACTCAGAGGGGTTCATCATGGAGCTGCATGGGCACCAGGACAAAGGAGAGCCAGGAACATTTGACAGGGGAGGTCAAGATCACCATTCAGACTGATATAAATCATGGCTTCTGTCACCAAATGGCACCTCACAGCCTATTTCTGAACAGGGTAACTGCTATGAATCCATAGTGAATAACAGGGCCCTGGAGATCTTTGGTCACCGACTATCTTACTTGCAAATGATTTCTAAGTGCTGTGAGGTTACAGTCACAGCTGATTCAGGAGCAGAGATCAAAAAAGAAAAATCCAGTGGAAGAAGGAAAGGCAAACTAGTGCTAAGCAGAGAAGAACCAGGGGAATAACAAAACAAAACAAAAAAACCCTAAAAATCCAAACAAACCAAAAACGAAATAGAGCAGGGAAAATAAGTTTTATGAATGCTCTAGACTCCCAGTAGGATCCAAATGTCTGTGTGTGATCCAAGTGACAGTAGGACCTGTCTTAAGGCAGAAGACCTCTGGCTCCAGGTCCAAATTCCAATTTGAAAAGGGTCCCATATAGATATGGACTACTGTACCAGACACTGGATGCATCAGTCTTTTTTATAAGGCCACAAAATTACCTTAGGTTTGTATTAATGCTACATAAACAGGGCAAGCAACACCCTCATGTTGCTCCTGTGGGAAAAACTGAGAAAATTGAAGAAAAGTTTTGCATGCACAATATCATTGAGCCATTCACCTCTTGTATTTTGCTCTTAAATACCAAATGCAGTAAGTAAGTGTCTGCAATGTCCCTGCGCATTAGTTTAAAATTCTTCCAAAGCCTCCATAAAGTTATAGCAGTATGTTGAGGTAAGGGTCTCGGTAAGGCAAACACAAGCATCTGCAGCAGCTGAGGTATTGTGCCTGATCTGACATAGAACAAGTGGACCATAGGACGGGCACATGTCTTGGAGATGTCCCCAAGAGCATGCCTGAAAGGCCAAAATTGGGGACAGCATACAAACACTGCTCTGACCTCCTCAACTAAGAACAGGGAGGGCTCAGCCCTGCAGCCCCATGAGTCTCCTGAAGAAGGAATGCTCATCCAGAACTGTATCATGGGCTCGTTTCCTGGCTCTGTCATGAGTTTCCCTAGAGAAACCACATATTTCCATCTGTAAGATGGAGATAACAAACCTCCCTAATTTTCCACGGACACTGCAAAGACAAGCCTAGAAATACCCCAGAAGCAGAGTGTCCACAGCAACAGTCACAACATGAGTCCATAGGAAGGATTCACTCACAGGTCCAGAGCAGAGGAAAATAAGTGTCATGAAAACACAATGCAGATAAGATGACAAGTTGTTAAGGTTTATAAAAGAGCAAACTATCTTACTAACCTGCAAGCACTTCTGGGTCTCAGGTGACATACCTGCAAAACACCCACCATCTTTGCTAAAAAGACAAAAATCCCACACAACTCCCTGCCGTCTGCATGATCCACAAGTTTGTCTGGAGGGCATCCCTGGTGCTGCCTACAGTGGTCTCTACACAACGATACACAGGCTTCCAGCCAGAGCACCCAGCTTTCTGGAGTGCATAAGAAGCAGCCTAGAAGCCCTAAAAATTGGGGTCTTTGACCTGTGCTGGGGACTACACTTGGCTTTGAGCCATGGGATGTCCTACAGCAATGGGGGATCTTTCCTAACCCCTCTGCTTCAGATGAGACTTTTCTTCATTTGAGAAATTGTTTCTGCCACTGCTCAATGTTTTCCTTAGCTCATGAGAGCCAGGAGAAAAGCAAGAGTGTCTGACCAATAAGCCCAAGTAGGAATCCGGTTTGGCAGCTTGGTGTGAAAGTGGGATTTAAATCCAGATTAAAGGCCTAATATATCCCCTTTTTTCCTGTATGACTTATTCTACAATGACATGGTAGGGCTAAGGAGACGCAAAGGGAAATGACATGAAGCTGTGAGAGAAAGGCAACAGCTAAGCACAGCTTGGACCCAGACAAACCAGCTGGTTTCTTTACCTTCTGCTCCAATAGATACTAGTTTGACTCCTTTGCTGGCAATGAAATCCAAGGCCTTGTTCACATTGGATATTTTGTGCACTCGCATTTTGCCTCTTTCAGGCTTAGCCAAACGTTCACCTAATAAGAGAAAAAAAAAAAAAAAAAGTGTTAGAAAACAATTCTGAACCCTTTCTTCCCTGGTGGGTGTTTTCTCATGCTGGTGACTCCCACTGCTCAGCCATGGGGAGAGTAGACCTCCCTGGATCCTTTCTTGCCACTGAATACAGGACAGCCACACTCACCATTAAGTACCCCCAGAAAGAATCAGACAGAGAAGTATCCTTTTGTTGCATCCCTGACAATTTAATGACAGAGAAACTGTTGGCACTGAGTCCTTCCCATGGCAGGTTTGTATTGGAGGTGAAAAGGTCCTTCAAAACCACACTGAGCTAGGCATTGGAACTAACCTTCATAGCATTAACTGCTGATAACAATGCCTGGAAATGGCATAAACTTCCCTCCCCCCGAAAGACAGATGAGGAGCTCCCCTCCAGCACTTACAACACCCAATTTATAAAGCAAATCTCTCCTTCTTGGAACTCCCTGCAGTCAATTATGAGCATTATCTTGTATCTTGCCTTTTCTCTTCACCCCCTACATCTCAAGTCTCTTCACTGAATGGCCACAACTACCTGTATCAGGAAATAAAATCACTTCTTTAGCAAGTGGCTTTATAATTGTAAGGACTGTCATCTCAACTCCCTTCCATTACATGTTTGATGTATTCCTAACCCTATGCAATGGTGTCTTACACAGTGGTATGCATTTTAAATGTTTATAATAAGGCAGAGAGAGGGAAGCAGCCTAGATCTGAGGCAAGAGCAGGTAAATCTCTGATAAGAATGAGTCTTAGGGCAAGTGCCAGCTGGAACAAACCTGGAATATGGGGAAAAGTGCTTTCTTGACCTTATTTATTTCAAGAGTTGCATTAAGTGCAGTCATGCCCTTCTTGATGGGTTGCCTGTAACTATGATCACAGCCTACTTTTACTAGCACTAACCCAACATGCAGAGCAAGCAAATTAAAGCTTGGACATACACGTGGACTTTTCAACGGAACCTCTGCTAGAAATGTAATTAAATGGGACATCAGGAACCACCTCTATGTGACACACAACAGCAAAAAATGAACAGAACAGCCACTTTCAGATCACAAGCTCCAGAATACAAAAAAGACCTAAACAAAATGCAAGCAGGTTTTGCACTTTGAAAAGAAGTTACAAGATCATTAAAAAGAGATCAAATGGGCAAGTCTAGGCAAGTAATTACTCACCTGACCTATTCAGTTCTAAAATCCTCCTGCTGTATCTTGAACCTGAATATTTAAGTCAATGTGAGCTGACTCAAAGTCTTTATTTGAGGCTTAAGGGTGAGAAAGAAAAGTACTTTTTAAAGAACTCTTTCTCATACTAAAACTGGATGGCTTGTTTCCTAACAAAGGACTGAGGAAAAACTAAAAGGGAGAAAAATAGGTTATCTCCATAGCCATGCTCTACAAAGAAAAAAGTTTGGAAATGAAAATCCTTTAAAAGTGTTTCAGTGATTACTGTAGGCTGGTGTCATTAGCTCTCAAGCTTAAGGGTAAAACCAGATTCACTTCCAAAATGAAATACTGATGTCTGATAATTTAAGTAAAAAGATGTATTTACGGTACTACCTCCATACTAGGATTAAAAAAAAAAAATCTCTTTTGCTTTAATGGAGCCTCAAGTATATATCATGATATGTTGCCTTCTTTTTCCATTTGGGTAATGCTAGTCATTTTTTAAAAAAGTGGAAGCATTTTTTGTGACAGTTTCACAATAGCAGACTTATGCTGCCAAATATCAACAAATGGGTTGAGCCAGCTAAAAAATAACCATTTTCTTCAGCTCATGTGATTGTAAACTAGCCTTGCAAAAGAAGAAAAATAAAGACAAGAGATTAGGTTTCAGCTGGAACAGCAAGATGATCCAATTCACCTTGTGGCCGCATGTGCATTGCCAACACAAGGGACAGCATCTGAGCTGCTCTCCCTGGGCTGGGGAGAGCAGGATTGTTCCCTCTGACAGCAACACGATCCTCAAGCAGCTGATGGTGACTGCAAAACTGCAGTCTTCCTCTCTCAAATACCACAATAGGTTATTTGGTTTAGAATCATTTTTTGAGGGGAACTTAAAAGGTCCCAAAACCTGATGGCTATTCCCTTCAGACTTGGACTTTATTACAAATTTAGATTTCCACAGAAAAGCTTAATCTGGTTCCATGCCATACATTATTAATGTCGTATACTGTTAAACGGGAAGCCTGCTAGAAATATGTTCTACTTTCAGCTATTTGCATCATCGCTTTATTTCTCAGTACTTCTCCCAGCTGAGAAAATGAAAATGGTCTACTCACTTCCATTCTCTAATGCTCATGTACTAGCCCAAGGCTGTACTTTAAAAGCCAAACAATGCAAGGAAGTGTTGGCATAGAAGTTGTTTACAGAAAATTTGTTTAGGAAAAATTTCAACTAGTCATTCCTTTTGTTTGGGGAAAAAAAACACTCAACCTTATAACTTTACTTTAAATGTACTAAACACGAGCTTAGCCTTTTTCAGTCTTGTATTATTTTTAAAATGGCTTTGTCAGGGGAAGGAAACGCATGCGGTGAAAAATGAAAGTCTATCTTTTGGGGCAGTTTCTATGGGGGGGCCCAACAGTTCCTTCCCACCATGGAGGCCAACGGGATAGGATTTGCAGTGAGGGAGCCCCAGGACTGTCTGTGGAGCTTCCCACATCACACAGTGGCTGGGGGACCGAGGGGCTCTGGTTGGGCTGGAAGGGGACCAGTCAGCAGCGCAGCTCACCACCAGGAGGTACCAGGCTGAGTAAAACTGAGGCGCTCTCCTCCTGCAGAACACCACTGCTTTCCCATAGTTTAGGAAGCTGTGTTGGTTGGGAAAACTGCTTCCTATCTGCCCTAGCTGCCTGGCAGCGACATCTCCTCAAGGACACACGGGAGGGTCTGCCCTGAAACAGTTCTCCCACAGCCCCGCTGGCACAGTCCCTCTCTCCAACCCTAGGGTCCCCAGCAGCTTCCCTGATGGAGGCTCCATCCTCCTCCCCGCGGCAGCAGCGGGGGACACAGTGCTCCCTCTCTCCCAAACACCCGGCCGGGCAGCCAGGCGGAGGAGGCGCTGGGCTCCACACGGCTCTCGGCCAGGCTGGCCCAGGGCGCTCTGATGGCCATCACCCTCTGGGTTAGAGGGAAAGATCAGCCTGCCACAGAGCAACCCTGCCCACGCCAAATTCCCGTCAGCAGCTCTGCAGTCCCCCCAGATACGGGAAGAGGAAGGTGTGGAGTGAGCCAAGAGCTGAAAGGAAAGGCCAAGAGCTGGAACTGGAGGGCTAAGAGCCATCCAGAGACTCATCCTTTTGGCAGGTGATCGGTAGGAACTGTGGCAGGAACATACTGGCAAGCCCTTGCCAACCAGTGGGGAGACTCCTTACCCTGACGCTGCTCCCGGGCTGGGCTGCTGCTTCCTCACCTGCGGGCCACAGGGGCTACTAGTGGGGCCAGTGGCTGGAATGAGGGTCCATAAGAGCAGTGGGGCTCACAACTGGAAATGGAACTGCCAATGATGGAAACAAAATGGGGAAAACCAACTGCGCTAAATTTCTCCTCTTTTGCCATTGTAACTAGGAGAACCGTGGTTCTAGCTTCTGCTGGCTCTAAGGAAAGGATGCTCAGTCCTTAGTGTGTGAAGGACCATGGCCTCTGGTGGGATGCAGCCCACAGCTGGTCCTGATGCCTTTGCCCACCAGTCATCTAGCAGGAGGATGCGGGCACAGAGCGCTCTGTGGCAGATGGGGAAATGCCATGCCCACACCACCGGGGCACTCAGAAGCCATTAGCTTCTTCCCAAACTGAGGGGGGCCTGACAGGCCCTGCCAGTGGGCTCCCAGAAGGACAACAGGAGAGGAAGAGCGGGAGATGAGGCAAGGAAATTAAGCAGTAGGAGATATGAGAGCCCTGCTTTAGCGCAAGGCCTCATCTGCCCTCCCCTGTTTATGCTTCTCTCCCCTATCTTCCAATTAAGTGATTAGAAACTAAGTCATCAACGCTCATCTGCCACTGCTTCCAGGCTGCAGCCCCTCCTCTGCAAGGCAACATAAATACAGAAAAGAAACCAATAAGGCTCTGCTACCTTGTTTCTTACAGGCACAGCAGAGGCAATTTGTGTGCCGCAAAGCTCTGATATTATTTTGAACACTGATCCCTCTAAACCACCAGCATGGGCAAAACCCCTGAAGTTTTATCCTGTATTCATAAATTCTGAAAAACACAAATACTGACAGCATCTTTTCAGGATCCGGCAAAGGAAAAGGGGAAATGAGGGAAAGGGGGAAAGGAGAAAAGGGGAGGAAAGGAAGTGCAGAGGGAAGGCAGTCTGAGTGCTTCTATCATGACGATTTTATTGGAAAGCATTGAAGAAGGTCAGGAGTGCAAGTCACTGGGATGCTATTACTGGCTCAAAAGCCATTAAAAGAAAGTCTGTGGGCATAAACCCTGTTTCATGTGGGTTTTTTTCAGTCTTACCCCCCCTCGATGCCTCCCACAATACTTTACTAAGGTATTTATTTCATCAGCACATCAATAGGGATTACTTCTTATATGAAATAATCCCAGGGAGATATCTGTCAAGTAGTGGAACATTCACGATAGGGAGTGAAAACAAATCTGATCTAAGTTGTTCATGCCACTGTTTTTATTTCAGACTGGGTTTTCTGGGATTTTGCTTTTTTTGGGGATTTTTTTTTTCCCTAAAGGCTTGAGCACTGAGCTCAGATTGAAACTAGAATGGAAAAACTTCAGTCACAGCTAAAACTGAACGACACAGAAGATTTACTGGTTTGACTCCCCCCCTTCCAATAACTTCTATCCTATTCCCACTGTCATGTGGCTTTGGTATGATTTGCCAGTGCAGCATTCCCACACCCTTCCCAGAGCTGCTTCATCAGCCCTGCCAAGCAGTAAGAACCGTTGCCTGAGCCTTCACAGGAGGCCGTGCATTCCTGACGGGCAGAGGAAAGCCGAGAGGCAGGAGCAGGAATGCAACGGGCAGCCTGCACAGGCCATGAGGCTTGGAGTACATTCCAAAAGCACATTAATGGTCACTGCTGGAGACAAGATATTTGTTAGGGAGAAATTTGTTCTGAATCAGAAAGCAGCTGTTCTTATATTCCAGCAAAATCTGCAGCATTACAGACCTTGCTGTCCCTGTTCTGCGAGAAGGGAGGAAGACAGATTTCAGAGTGGAGATGCTCTGAAACTTGAGACACTTGAGAGCTCCACACAAAACCTCTCTCACCTGAAATGACTTCCAGAAGTAACATGAGTTTAAGACCGTCCCTGAAATCTTCCTCTATGTTCTCAATCTGTGTCCCAGCCTTGCGGAGGTGAGAATTACACCATGCTGTAAATGTCTAAAACACAGGAAAGAAAGACAGAAAAAAAGAAAAAAAAAAAAAAAAAAAGCAGTCAGTAATCTTCCCAGAAGCCAAACAACAGTTCAGAACCAAAACAGTGCTGCTATGTACCATGACACAGATTCAAATGGTGGTTAGGTTATCATCTTTCCACCCGCTGGCCTTGTGGAGCACAAGCATTAGTACCCAAATAGCCAAAGAAGTTGCAGGGTGTTCCTATGACAGAAGGAGTCTGAGAGAGACAATCGCTTCATGGCTCCAGCATGTCTGATTTTCTGGAGAGGCCCCTACATTTTGTGTTTGGTTTAGAATACCTTGAAACCAATTTTAAGGCATGCTAAATGCTGATTGCTAGGGATTCCAGTGGTGTTAGATGACACGTCTTGACATAATATGAAGGAGAATGTAAAACAGCATTCCAGATCTTCCTGTCTCTAGACAGGTGCTTGAGAAAAAAAGGACTGTTCTTCTATGGGCAACTGCCTCTGGTCTACTTCATCCCCAGCAAACACTGCAGCCCTTAGACAGAGGCTGAGCTCCTCAGCCACATAAACTACATCCCAGCAGTGTCTGTCCTGCTGCCTCTGTTCTCACCAACTTGCTATTAAGCAGACCTCCCTCCCCTGCATGAGTGTCCCACCTTCTCTCCTCCCTCATGTGGAAGAGTAAATACTTTCTAAAAAACAATGCGATCACCCGTCTCAGCAGAAGTAGAGGTCCTAGAAAGGATAAAAGTAAGCATTACTTAGTGACACTACTGTCTAGCACAGTCCCAAACTCTCACTACTTGAGAGCCTCTGGCAGAGGGATCACTGCAGCCACCTCAATGATAGAAATCATAGCCACGCTGCAATTAGTGATATTATGCACCACCACTGGAATAATAATATGAAGTGCAAGAGGGACTGAGATCCAAACTACAACACAGCCAGCGGCATTCAGGCTAAACAAAACTCTTTTTGGAAACGCCTTCTGACCTCATGTGGTCAGGATAAGAGGATCTCTCATATGAGAGAAATGAATTTCACCACAACTGATGACAAGACACATTTTCTGTGGTTGCAATCTGTCAGCCCATGTTCTAAACAATGGGCATGTGGGGCACTGACCGGGAAGAGACTGTCTCATCCAAGAGATGAGATAGTTGGGATTATCTCAAAAGAGCCATATGTGAATGGGTCTGAAAAAGAAAAGCAAGTGCTACCATTCAACAGTCAAAACACAAGAAACCAATATAAAACTCCTCAGGCACCTTAGTGTGGCGTGGTCTTAAAAATGCAAATCAAAGAGACCAACCTGGAGATGCAGAAGCTGTTTGACAAAAGGACTGTTTGAAGAGTAAATGGTAGCAACTAGTTCTTTTAAGGTGGACAAGTTTGTCCAAGTGCTAAAGAATGTGTTTCACAGTGTTTGAATAGGACATCAAGTAAATCCTTTCCTTTGTACAAACTGATAACCCCTCAATCATGCTTTAAATAGAAGGGTGAGGTTACTCAAAAAATGAGCGGCTCCAAAAGCTCAGTGCTACCACAGGGAAAGGTCTTTCTTCCTGTCCTCTCCCAGAGCCAATTCAACTCATTGGCCCAGCAAAGAACTATTTACTTTCTTTGGTAAGGCTAGTCTTCTGCTCAGCAGTGCATGAAGGCAGTCTAACAAGCCTCTGCAAGAGAAAATTTGGCATACACGGGCCAAGCAGTAGGGTGGAGTGGACCACAGCAGTCATGCCATCTTAGGCTGTTGGGGAACCTCAGCAGAAAGGACTCAGCTGACACTGAAGCATGGCATGCCAAAAATTTAGAAATGCTTCACCACTGCTTACACCATGCATAGCATTTTGAAAGATTACCCCAAATGGCAAAGCGCATCAGGACTCGTTCTTATTTGTCTGGAAGCTGGGCTTCCTCTACTAATCTGCTCACATTAGTGCTTACACGACTACAGAGAGCATAGCAGAACCTTTCCTCGGAAAAAGCATTGCTCAGCAGCTGCCGAGCTTCCCACTGCTGTGCTCTGGCCTTGCTCCCTGCCGGGGCTGTGGAATGGAGCAGGATAACAGTGCAGCTGTAAATACTTTCATGGCAATGGCCCTTTGGACGGATGCATGTATTGTGAAAGTCTGGGATCTTTTTTTTCAAGATGGGCTGGTTTGCTTCCAGATTTGGAAGCTCTAAAAAAAAAAGAGTAAGTCATTAAGCACCTTTTATTGCTTTTTATTGTTATTCCCCTGAGAAATAAAAGTGGTGTTTTTTTTAAATAAGAGCAGTTTTATTTGAAAATGGGCCCTGTATCCTGAAGTACATCCTTCTGGCACTATTTTTTTCATTCCACTGCCTGTGCTGTATTATATGAGAAGAGGTTCATTTATGTGGCTCCCTTTTGCAGCCGGGCTCCTTCACTTGAGGGTCAAATGAGAGCAGAGATGCTTTCAAATGATACACCGTTATCATGTATCAAAGTATGATAGCAAGTTATGTCAGGAAGGTTGTGGATGCCCATGAACCTCCTTCTCATATTTGGAAAGCAGACAAACCAAGATACGTAGAGCTAGTGTCTGGTCCCAGGTCACATTACAAGATCTGTGTTGAACTGAGGAGGAAGACTCAGATCTAACTCACAGGCCACCAAATTGCACTTTTATTTCTTGTATGACTTCCCTGAGGCCATTTCAGTTTTCCATCAGCCCCAAGCAGATCAGGAAGTTCTGCTTTAAATCACTGATAATTCTGGTGTAACTCAGCTGGGCATCTCTTTGCATATTTTGAGGATGGAATAGGGCAACGAGGTCTACATTTCTAAGAAACACAGACGAAATTAAAAGCAAACCACAAATCTTCTAAACTTTGCGTTATTTTAAAGCCTGGCAGGATAACCAGATCAGTGAGAGTATTTTTATTGCTGCAAGAGTCACCCAGGGCTTGGTGGGAAATTAAGTCCCAAAGCCAGCACTCCAACTTCTCTGCTGGAGCCATCTCCACCACATCACAGCCTCAGACGTGTTCATGTGAGACAACTCTGCAAAACATTGCCATTAGCCATCAGTGGCAGAGCTGACACCTCACCTCCTCACGGACATGGGCCACGAAGGGTTAATAGAGCACACGCAGTCCCCACTAGACAACTCCCAGGCATTTTTTGTCAAGGCACCCTTCGGGTCCTACATGAACTGCAACAAGCATAACACTGTAAGCAGCACAACAGCGTGTGGGAACAGCAACAACCAGCAGCCCATTGTGGATGCACTAGGCCATTTTACAAGAAAGCAGGATTATGAATGCTTTTAATAACTGCAGTGGGATTCACAAACTATATTCTTCACAGACCAATCCAGAGCAACATCATTCAAAACAATAATCGGAAAAGAGCTTTATGTTGCATTTGCTGCATATACTGCACAGGAGTAAAATATCTTCTTACTTCAAAGTAGTAAATTGGAAGGAGATGACAGACAGATAGGAGAAGGCTGGAAAAACGTGGCAGAAAAGTGGGAGGAAGCACAAGAAGAAGGAAGAGCTGAAATTTTTCCTGTCCGCTGGGGCCTTGCAATCCTGGCAGTCTTGTCTGGAGCCATTTTTACTGGCTTGGCTTCACGTATCTGCACAGGATCCTTTTTGTTATTCTAGGAAACCTACCGAAACCACCCACTCACCCCATCCACCTCCCGGGCAACACAGCTGCTCCTCCCCTTGCCCTGTGTCGCTGCTAGCAGTGGCAATCGGCTGGGGGCAGCTGCTCTGCTGCCCGCCACCAGCGAATGAAGCTTTTGAAAGTGGAAAGGGCTGCCAAGAGCAGCCAGCCATCTTTCTAGTGCAAGCCTGGCCGTGGGAGCAGCCAGACAAAAAAACCCAAACCCAAACCACCTGTGTTTGCTGGGGTGAGGCGAGGCACACCCCCGTTTGGATGGCAGAAATGCACTGCCAGGTGGGAAGCACCATCTCCTCGGTCATGAGCTCAAAGCACTGCTCTGAGGCCACAGATGTGCTTCCTTGCTGCCTGCAGATGCAGAAGCCTCGAGATTATTCTTCTGCTTACCCCTAACTCCCTGTCCCAAAGACGAGGAAACTTTCATCCGTAAATCACAAATACTCTGTTAGAGGTTTACGGAAATTTCACAGAGCTGGAAAACTACTTACTGTTAAATAATAGCACAAAAACATACCATCAACTGGATTTTCTTTAACAAATCTCACACCATAAATTTTCTATGGTAACTGCACAAGTGGTGCAAACAGAGCTGTGTTTCTCAGCCCCTGGATCTTTCCATATATTGTACTCTTAATTTCATTTTTGGACACAACAGGCAGCTGGGACTCCCCTGCAGGTCTGCCTCTTCTTCAGTGTTCACAATGGAGGATGCTGGATGTAGTGTGTGTGGGGGTGTCTGCATGTACACTTGTGCATTTCTCAGCATTGCTCTCTGTGCACCCTGCTCCCACCTAGCTATGATTTGTAGCTTCCTTTTTTTACATTCCAGCTTCATCAGTAAAATCCCTGTCACTGAGATCAACTCTTGCTATTTGTGCGCTAGGTGCTGTACAAACAATAGGACTTTCATATTCTACCACAATATAACCTGTCAGATAATAAAAAGAATAACAAATGTTACTAAAAGCAAGCAAATATGATTAACTGTTCTGCTACCTCAGCATAGGAGGCAGGTTTACTGTTGGGGTAACCTCTACAAGCCTACCTGCATACCTATTTTAACAGGCATACACACCCTTTTTCTGACACAACATGAAAAGTCCCTGCTTCTTCAGAGCTTTCTGTATTAACCCATGCCCAGGCGTGAGTTAACTAAAAACAACAGGTAGGTGATTGCTAGAAGTCTTGCAGCCAAAGCTCTGATACACCATTTTCAGCTACCTCCTTCCAAGTATCTCCCAGACCTGCCAACTGCAAACCTACATTTGGCTCTCCCTGTATTACACGTGCAGGCACACACTCCCTGGTACTCTGCATTTCCTAAGCTTTTGCTTTTCTTCCTGAAACCCAGTAAC